CACTCTACTTCTTTTCTGTAGAGTTCCCTACCAAGGACATGCCTTTGAATGGAATGCCGATGCGGGTTCTGTGGACTTTGTGTGTTCCCAGGGTTTTTTCTACTCTTAACCTTTGTTAGTATTTTTTTCCCTTTTTGTGGGAGAATAGCATTTTACAGTGTGAACTGTAAACTGTAAATATCCATTTATTGGTTTGTTGGTTTGGGCAGTCCCTACCCTTTGCCTATTAAGAATGCTGCTAACTTCTGTGTTCAGTTTGGTCTTCTCATGCTCACAGGGTTTCATGCTCTCAGGCCCATCTCTGGGAGCAAAATTGCTGGACCTGATCATCTGAGAAACCAAATATTTTCTGAGTTACCTGAATGTGTATGCACACAATTTTACATTCACATAGCAATGCACAAGGGATCCAAATTCTCCGTATTCTTGGAATACATCCTATTGTCTAATTTCACTATCTAGCCATCCTAGTTAGTTACAGTTCTCAGTGACTCAAAAGGCATTCAGAGGGACCAGAGCCATAGCACAGCGGGTAGGGCGTTTGCCTTGCACGCGGCCGACCCGGGTTCGATTCCCAGCATCCCATATGGTCTCCCAAGCACTGCCAGGAGTAATTCCTGAGTGCAGAGCCAGCAGCAACCCCTGAGCATTGCTGGGTGTGACCCAAAAAGAAAAAAAAGGCATTCAGAAACAAACCTAAATTCTCCCTCACTTCCACTCTTATTTTTCCCTGACATATGCCCTGATTGTACATTCTCACATGGATAGACAGATATATGGGCATCACACACACACACACACACACACACACACACACACACAATCTCAGAGTTGTTTGTAGTGGAACAATCTGCCCAAATTTACCAAGGTTATAGTATAAGTAAGGGTAGCCTCAAGTCTTTTGTTCATTTTATAAGGAGATTTTAGGTTCGTTTTTGGCCCACACCTGACTATGTTCCAGGCTTACTCCTGGCTCTGTGCTTAGGGACCACTCCTGGCAGGCTCAGGGTATCATACAGGGTGCCAGGGATAAAACCCAGGTCAACCACATGGAAGGCAAGAACCTTATCTGCTGTATGATCACTCTAGCCCCTGGTTCAGGGGAATTTAAAACTAAATGCCATGTAGAAGTTCTTTACATAGTCCATAGTAACCTTAATTTTAGTTATATTTGTTACAACTATCATGTGCTGCTAATATGGTTTGTCTCATTATTGTATCTTCTAGTGAATGAATTTTAGCACAAATTCCTCAGTCTTTTTTGGAGGGTTTTCATTTTCTATACCGATTATAGGAAATGCTTTCCCACTTCAAATATAAAAATACTCATATATCTTCTTGTAAATACTTTCATAGTTTAGCCTTCATCCATCTGGACTTGTTTCAGGGTGGAAGGGGTAGGATTCAGCCTGTGACTTCACTCCTTAGGAGTGATTTTCTCTCCTGACTATCCTCCACCAGAGTTCCCCTTCTCTCCATGTGACCTTCCTTCCACCAATCTGTAGCCACTACTCTGACACCAAGTGGTCCCTAATGGGAAGCCTCCATAGCTTCCCATGATGAAAAGCCTATGCCTTGATCCTAACAGAACAAACGCCACTGAAAAATCTGCTTTCCTTTCCAGGATTGAAAATTACGCTGAGAGGCCCTAAGGAAATGGAGTTGAGCTACCAGGGAAGATGCATTGAGGCCATAGATTGGTTTGTGGAGATGCATTTCTTTGTGGAGTTTTATCCACTGGTGGATAAAAACATCAGTGTTTAATTCACTTACTTCAGTCATATTTAATGCTGATAAATAACATCTAATTATTTTCTCCCAAAGCCCCTTTACAAATTGTGTGAGATTTGTTCTCAGGTGTATTTTCCACAAGTATCTAATGTGGATGGACGTGAGGTCTCCAGAAATTCACCATCAGAACGTATTTAAGTAGAGTTTTTGCATCTACCTTTATCATGCAGAAGTTCCTTGTATATACTAACTAAAAGGGGTTTTTAGGCAGGGGTGTGGTTCCATGGAGGCTCACTTGCCCAGCAGACCTGCTGGGTACAATCCCCTAAGCCTCTGAAATGAACAGCACACACATATATCACAGTTGGCTTTGCGTCCAATGCCCACACCCCTCTAAAAGGACTCGTTGATGACTCAGGGGACAGCATGTCCCATCGCTGCACCATAAGTCCCCCAAGCACTGCTGGGAGTGACCCCAAGCACAGAACCAGCAGTGTCCCAAACATCACCAGATGTGATTCAAAATTTTGAAAGGGGGATGGGAGGGCAGGGCTGAATTTGTGACTATTAAGTTTTAATGGCTGTTTTTAGAGTTGACAGTTGTGTCAACCGTGAACATCTGATGGCCCCACCAAGGAGCTTCCTTTGGGGAAGGGGAGCCATCCCCAGACCTGTCCCCAGACCTGTCTGGAGACCCAGCACAGTCCCAGGACTCCTGGTAGAACCTGGTCCTCCTGACACTGGACAGTGCCCTTGTGGGAGCCGCCACACTGAGTCCATGAAAGGGCAGATCTAAATACTGGACCCTCTGGGAAAACTCAGTTCTGGACTTTGCCTCTTGAACACGTTGCTGTATCTTTGTTACACGTGTGTATGCCTACCACACATACCTAGTGCCGCGTGTTTGCTGTGTCTTTGTCATGAGCTCTGAGTGCCACCTGTGTGCCATGGGGCCTATCTTGTGTAGCCCCCGGAGTTTTCTGTGTTCGTCAATTCTCTGCATTCTACTGGGGGTCAACCACAGGCCAGGCACCGTCCCTGAAGCAGGGCTTGGTCACAGAAGAACAAACCAAAGACAAATGATTCTGTATCCCACACACTCTCACATGGGGGCACAGAGGAGCAGAGTCACTGAAACAGTTGGGGGTGCTTGGGGCCATGGAAAGAGAAGGTGCTGAAAGGGCACGGATGCAGGCAGATCTGAGAGGACAGGGAGAACCCTTAAGAGGAGAGAGGAGAGACGAGGAAGGCAGCCGTGGGGTCATGGGGAGCCCAGAGGCTCTCTCTGCATGGGAAGGAGCAGGAGTATGCGGAGAGATGGTTTCCTAAAACAACTGCTTTGGGCCCAGATCAGTATGACAAGTCGTGCCAGATTCACTGATTTTACTTCAAGGACCCACCTCTAGGAATCTGCACTGAAGATAGGCTTCCAGAATAGGAAAATGAGTGTACACAGAGTGATTCTTCACTGCACAATAGGCAACCACGGCGCCTTCCACATGACCCCCATGTCCTGAGAGAGCTGGGTTGCTGAACAGCACAGTTCTGTGACTGCGTAGGGGTGGGGAAGAGGTTGGGTCAGCACATCTGTTAAGGGGCTTAGGGGGCAGCAAAGTGGAGAAAAGTCCTGCTGTCTGCTCTGGGCAGCCCCCCCCCCCCGCCTCCTAAAATGCACACTGGGACAAGTGTGCATGGTGAACCCCACTCCGCAAAGGGCCGCTGACTGTCTCTGTGCTTGCCAAGGTTCTCCAGACACTAAAGGGATGCGCATCTCACAAAATCCCACTGGCCTTAGTGACTGTCCCTGTGTTTCTGTGTTCCCCTATTGACAGGAAGTCTCCCGCATGACCTTGGTCAAGTATCAGGGATGCTGTCTCGTTTGCCAAGGCGTCGAAAATCAGATGGGCTGGACACGTAATGAGATTTGGAGATGACCGCTGGGACTAGAGCTGTTACCGACTGGATTCCACGGGAAGTCAATAGACCGCGTGGCCGCCCACCTATGAGATGGTCAGACTTCTTTGTCAAGACCCTGAACAATCGGTTTGAGGCTGTTCACGCTCCTAGAATGAGCAGACGCCATTGGGCCACACTAGCACGTGACAGGGATGAATGGAGATGCTACTGGCACCCGCTCGAGCAAATCGATGAGTCATGGGATGTCAAGTGATCAAGTGACCAAGTGAGGGAGCCTTTGCAGATAAGGACAAACCCAGCACTATGGCTAGACTACAAAACTGTGGGTCAGGTCTGAAGCACCCTCATGGGGAACTTCAGCCTGCGCCCTGCTAGCTGCCACCCAGTCCCAAAGCGAGGAGCCCTGGACAGACAGGGTTTATCCTGCTTTAACTCAATGCTTGGACCATTTGTTACAGTGCGTTGTCTAATTAAAGTTGTTCTGGGGTCAGAAGGGCTGCACAAAGGGGCTGAGTGCAGACGGTCCTTGCATGTTCCAGGACCCAAGTTGGATCCCAGGCACCACATGCCCCCACCACCACCACCCATACCAACCAAGCGGGGGACTTGCCAGCCCTGACCAGGGGAGCCTGAACATTGCCAGCCCACAGATCTGACTGCAGTCGCGTCGCTGTGATTCCATAGTCTTATCCACCACAGGACGGTCCTACCCACCACAGGTCTGGGCAGAGGACGGTCCTACCCACCACAGGTCTGGGCAGACTGCGTATAGCTACATCAGCCTGGAACTGTCTAGCGAGAAACAGAAACAGAGAGATCCAGAAAACCAAGTCAGAAGTCAGTCTTTGGAGCGCGTGTGATTAAAATTCTTTGTGGTGTTCTTGCAACTTTTCTTTGGAAAAGACTTCACATTCGAGAGGATTTCACAGAGATGGGTGCCGGTCACTAGGTGCACTTGCTTCCTAGGTGCACTTGCTTTCCTAAGGACCGAAAATACCAGCCAGGAGCTCTGGAAACGAGCGAGGATGCAAAAGAACAGAACCGTTCGGGGGGGGCGCGAGGTGGGGCGCTGGAGGCGCGCAACGGCGAGCACGAGTTTCTGGACCGGCTGTTGGGGTTCTCAGAGGTGGACGCGCTGGGTCGTGAAAGTCCGAGAAGGATTCCGGCTGGAGGGCTGAGTTTGAGCAATGACCCGCCCCGGCCCAGGGGCGCCGCCTCGGCCCGGCCCCGCCCACCCGCCCGGCCCGCGCCGCCCCCTCCCCGGCCCGCGCCGCGCACCTGCCGCCGCCGCCGCCGCCTCTTAAGCCCGCGGGCTGTGCCCGCGCCCGCGCCGCGCCCGGCAGGTTCGGGTCCCGGTCCACGGTGCCGGCAGGTTCGGGTCCCGGTCCAGGGCGCCGCGGGCATGGGCGCCGCCGGGCTGCTCTGGGTCCTGCTGGCTCTCCGCGCGCCGCACGTCCTAGGTGAGCGACCGGGACGCAGGGAGCGGAGCGCGGGGAGACGCGGGGGGCGCGGGGGGACGGGCGGGGACGCGGGGCGCTGGGCGCTGCCGCCGTCGCACAGAGCGGGGGCGCCGCGGACGGGTCGCCGCGCCCGCCCCGGACCCACCCGGGCCCCGCGCCCGCCCCGGGGCCCCGCGCGCGCCCGGCGCCCAGACCCGCCGCTGCCCTGAGTCCCCAGGGATGCGCGCGCACGTGGCGGCCGGCGTTGAGGACAGTGGGTGGGCGAGGGGAGGCTTCCACGGTGGGTGGGCGAGGGGAGGCTGGCGCGGGAGGAGGGCCCTGACCCTCCTAGGAGAGCCTCCTCGGGGTTTAACCAGAGGACGGGCGGGGCCGGACGTCCCCGAGTTCCCCGCGCTCCGCCCGACCCCCTAGAGTGGCGCTGGCCCGGGGCACTGCCGCGTGGGGCCAGCGAGACCCGCGTGTCAGACTGGGTCTCTTGTGGGAGCCGGCCGAGCCCCCCGCGGGCTTCCGAGAGGACCCGCGCCAGGCACCCCTCCGCACGGGCCTTTCTCTGGCTCTGACGCCCCTGCACTGGCCAGCCCCTTCGGCCACCTGCCCTGCCCCGCGACGCGCGGACGCACCGCCTTGGCGGGGACCCTGTCCAGGCGGGAGGGGTCTGGTCCCTCGGCAGGGGGGGCTGTCTGCCTGCTGGGGCAGCAGCAGCCTGCAGACCACTCGGGTCCAGCTTGCACCCTCCTGCCTCGTTTCCTGCTGCTGCGAGGTCGGAGCAGCCCGACACCAGGGCACTGCAGCGCTGGCCGCTTCTGTTTCAGGCCCTTCCTGGGCCGCTGTGTCCAGGCCCTTCCTGGGCCTTCCGCCTCGAGAGTCCTGCTTGCACTTTGCCGCACAACCGGCAATCTGCACTTACCCCAGGCCCTCCAGGACCCCCGCTCCCCCGCAGCCCTCCCTGAAACCATCTGGGGGCTTGGACCCTGAAACCGTCTGGGGGCTTGGACCCATTCCCACAACCTCACACGCCACAACCCCTTCCACGCCCCCTCACACTTGCTTTCACAGGTCGCCACACACATTCACCTACACGCTCACACACGCACTCAGACTCTCACACACACTCTCCCTTGTAGACGTAGTATCACACTCACCCTCTCGCACACAGCCACACTGACTCTCACACACCCTGCCCGGGCCCTGGATGCCCTCTCAGACGATGACCGCCCCCGAGCCCCAGGAGAAGCCTGGCCTTCCTGGGGGGGTGTGGAGAGAGGTGGCTGCCCCATAGGCAGAGTCCTGCTGCGTCCCTCCCAGGCCGAGGGCTGTCTGGACAGTGATGCTGCTGCTGTTCTGACCTCGGCACACACATGGAGCCCGGGTGCTGGAGCAGTGTCCGCACCCACCCAGGACGACACCCTCATCTCCTGTGGCCTAAGACCCTGCTGTTTCTGGGGACCCTTGTCCCCTGTGACGAAGGGGGTGGGGCAGGGGACTCGTCCCAGGGCCCTCCCCCAGCGGTCCCACTGACCCACTGCCCTGCTTATCTCCTTCGTCCATGTGTATTGGTGCCTCCTGGGGCCCATCCTGCCTGAGCCCCTGAGGGTACGGACCCCACATTGTGGGCTCTGCCGGCCCAGGATCCTGGTCACCTGGAGTCCTCCTGGGACGATGAGTCATGAGCCACGGCCCTGTCTCACGCAGCGCTGCACCTTCCCGGTCCCCACCAGCTTCTGAGGTGCCCCTCAGTGTCCTCAGTGACACTCGGGGTGTCTGTTCAGGGCCACAGAGGGCTGCGAGACAGGGCTGCTGTCATGGCTGGGAGGGCGTCACACTTGGTTCCCACTTCAGGGCCAGCCGTAGGAACACAGCACACGGCTCTAAGGCACCCCTGGGCCTCGGAAACTTCCTTCCCCTCCCCCCAGGGAGGAGCACCATCTGGAGACCCTGTCACGACCGGGTGGGTGGGCACTTTCCTGGCTCCTGAGGGCCGGGGCCTCCTTCAGGAAGGCACAGAAGCTGCTTCCCTTCCTTTGTGCGCATGATTGCCTCACGGTCCTCCTGTGCTGACCACTCAGCCAGGGCTCTGGCCCCGCAGGAGTCCGGGGAGGCCATCAGGAAGGCCAGCTCTGGCACACACGAGGTCTCCAGGGACTCTGAGGACGTGGCACTGACAATTGTCTTCACTGCGTGGAACCTCGGTGGTACCTGGTGCCCCGTGGCGTGTGGAAAGGGCTTGTCATTGGGCCTGAGTTCTCTCTTGCGGGCTGTCGGAGGGTAGCACAGCCCCATCATCTCCCTAAAATGTCCTGAGAGGTGCTTCTCCAGATGCCCGTTTGTTCTGCCTGCCTGTCCCCAGAAATCGGCCCTGCCCTGGTGTGTTTCTGAAGGTCAGAGCCAACAAGGTCATGGCAGCTGCACAAGGCAGGGCAGGGCCTCTGGCCTGACCTCCGGGGTCTGCCTGGCCATCCCTGAATTCCCCGAAACTTCTCTAACAGCCCTTGATCCTCCTGACCTTCCCGGACCCCCGACCCTCCAGTGTCTGAGTCTGTAGCAGTTCCTGTCAAGGTTCCCTTTGGCTCTGAAATTCAAGTCCATGGTCTGGGCCTCTCCTGGGCCAAGTTGGGAGTCCGAAGCCTTCCTGGGTACTGAGAAAGAAACATGCTCTGGCCACATGGCTGCGCGTTGGTGAAAGGGCGTGGGGGTGCACATTTGTGCAGTCAGGGGAAACTGAGGCCAGACTGGTGCTGCGCCACGGGGAAAAGGCTCTCGTGGTGGATGGGGTGGCTCCGGCCCCGTCCTCTGGCCTCTCGCGGAAGGCACTGATGCTCTCCACACCCGGAGCCTGGACCCAGGGCTGCCTTGCTTCATTCAAGCCCACTCAGGACACCCGGAGGCTCCCCACGGCATGGCCAGGCCCCCTTTCTGGGAGAGCACCCTGTCTCCGGCTGGCTTGACAAGGGGTGCAGGTGTCGGGCCTGAGCTGATGCTGAAAGGCACCTTGCTGGGCGGCGGGTTCAGCCACGGTGCTGGCTCACCTGCCTTCGTCTCCCGGCCCGGGCTGGGTCCAGCAGACCCAGGTGGGTTTCCCAAGGCTGGTCACTGCATGTTTAGCCAGAGCTGGGGAGCTGGGGACCCAGGGAGCGTGGTCAGGAGAAGCCAGAGCCACCGTCCGGGGCTTGGGCCTTCCCTGGGAGTGCCGTGCGCACCTGCCATCCCGAGCCTAGTGCCCACAAGTGTGCTTCTTCCCTCCCAGGCATCCATTGTGACCCGCCACCCGCAGTCCCCAACAGTCGCAGCAGCAACCAGCGAGAACACCAGTTTCCTCTGAATTCCGTGCTGAGGTACAGATGCCTCTCGAGCTTCCGCCTCATTGGAGAGGCGACCCTGATGTGTGTCAGCAAGAATGGGGCCGGGTCCTGGGACAAAGCTCCCCCCGTCTGCGAATATGCCAGAAAGAACATCCTGTGTCGTGAGCCTGTGGTGCCTGGGGGATACCGGGATAGGAAATCTCGGCCCCCGTACGTGCACGGCGACGCTGTGACATTCACCTGTAACGCCAACTTCACCATGAAGGGCCACAGAACGGTCTGGTGCCAGGCCAGTGGCAGCTGGGGGCCCTTGGCACTGCCTGTGTGTGAGAGTGGTGAGTGCAGGCGGGTCAGGCTGGGCTGGGCCAGGGCTGGGCTGGAAATGGGGACAGGGACAGTGACAGCGAGAGAACAGAGATCAGGATGAGGGTGGGGACTGGACGGAGATGAGGACTGGGAGGGAGGAGGGTGGCAGGGATGGAGCAGGGCTGGAAATCAGGAAGGGACAAGGACAGGGAGGAAGACAAGGACTAGGCCTAGGGCTGGGATGAGCTATGGGCGCAGAAAGGAGTGGACAGTCACTTCCTGCCTCACTCCTGGAGGTCGAGGTGCTTCCTCCCGGGGCCATACTGTAGACTCAATGCTGACGGGGACCTGGGTGGCTGTCTCCCAGCCAGCCAGCAGGGGCTCTGCAGGGCAGCAGAAGGGTTCCTCTTAAGTGATGCCAGTGTGGGGGCCGACAGGGATCGCACCCAAAGGGTGAAGGCTCTTCTGGAAGGAGCAGAAACGTGTCCAGCCTGGGCCTCCCACACCCCAAGTCACTGCCTGACATTTCATGATGTTGCATCAGACTTGGAAACGGGGCCGATTTGCAGGTCTTTAGTGCCTTGTCCCTGGCTCACTTCACTCTGCCTCAGAAAACTAAATTCCAGTTACATCATCGTTTGATCAAATGTACAACATTAGGCTGCCACAGGAGTGTGGCTGAAAGTAGCATAGGACAGACCTGGCATCACCCGAGTCTGATTCCCATCGCCTCACTGCCCCCCGAGAACTGCCAGGTATAGGACCTATGGAAATATTAGACCAGCAAAGCTGGGGGTTTTCTCGGTAAAGAGTGCTTGGATCCATTCTACACCTAAGAGTTGAAAATGACGACATTGTGAGAACACTATGATTTTGCTTACAGATACGTGGAGATCAGGAAAATTACAACACAAAATGAGTGTTGGGGAAGGTGCCTCTGTGCAGGTGTAGACCCTGCCCTGTGTCTCCTGGGGAAGACACCAGGCAGAGCAAGAAAGTAGGAACACGTGTGTACACAGATGCACACACCGTGGCCAGGCAGTGCCCCGTACCGCTAGACTGCCGAGATGCCTGTCCCCAGTCATGACCAGTGGTCAAAGGTCGGGTGAGCGTGTAGGAGAGAACGGGTCCTTTGGTAAGTCAAACTTTTCACAAGGGCAGCGCAGATCATAAAATCGACTGAAAATAACAAACTGGATAATGATAAAGTAGAAACACGGCAGCAAAGCCTGTCTGACCTTCACAACACTGCGTTGAAGATTAGTTAGGGTGACCACAGATCATATGTCATTTCCGAACATCTGAGCAGTGTGAAGATCACATGGTGTCACAGGTTACTGAATGCACTTGTGTGCAGATCACATGCCACCATGTAGCAGTATGTACCAAGCACATGTCTTTATGTGCACGCATGCTGGTCATTTATCATTATGCTTCTGTGTAATAATTGTGTGTGTCATTGTGTGAATGTGTGTGGACATGTCGCATGTGCTTGTGTGCTATTTATGTTATTCACCTGTGTGTTAATCGCATGTCATTATGAGTACCTACGTACTGGTCACATAGTATCACACACATCTGTGGGCTGGTCAGGTGACAGGTGTGCCTATGGATACCAGTCACATGCCATTAGGTACACCTTGTGAATCATGGGCTATCCGTGTGCCCTTTCAAGGCAGTTGCTTGTCATACATCACATCAGGGTGAAAGCACTTGCGATTATGTATGTCTCAGTTGGTGTAGTCATGCATGTGAACGTGTCTGAACGTGTCACATAGGAGTGTAAAATTATGCCATGATGAGAACTTGTGCCCATCACTTCACATATGTGCATGTTTGTGATTCATTTTATGTTACTGTGCGTCTGTGTTACTCATGTCTCGTGCATGTGTATACCCATGTGTCACATACATGCAATTGTGTGTGTATGTATAATTGTATATCATACTATGCGTTTGTATAAAATCATGTGCCAGGCATGTTCACCTGTGTGAAATGCCATGTGTGGACATCTGTGTGAAACCACATGTCATGTATGTGCACTTGTGTGCATGAGTGCATCTGTGTGAAAGTGGGTGTCACGCATGTGATTTGTGTATGTCATGTGTTGTGTGTATTGCCATGTGTGTCTATGTGAAACCATGTGACGTGCATGTGCACTTGTGTGTCATTCATGTGTGAAACAATGTATCCTTTTTGTGCACTAGTGTTTCATGTGCCATGTGTTCATCTGCATGAGGTCACGCGTTGTGTGCCGAGTGGACATGCAGCTGACCTGTGATGCACACCTAATGCCCTCTCTCCTGTGTGTTAAGACCTGCCGATGGAGTGTCCTTCGCTCCCAGCCCTCCACCATGGACAGCACACAGGGGAAACCACGGCCAGCTTTGTCCCGGGGATCTCTGTGAATTCCAGCTGCCAGCCTGGCTACATGCTGGTGGGCCCAAAGACCATCAGCTGCCTGTCCTCTGGAGAGTGGAGCGCACCCCTGCCCACCTGTAAAGGTAGTGAGATGCTGGACCGCCCCCCACCCCGTCTCGAGCTGTCCAGGCACTGGCCACTGTGCTCACCCCGGCTCTTCCTCAGAGGCACGGTGCCAACCCCCAGGACCCTTTCCCCACGGACGGGTGCAGGAGCCGCCCAGCCTACAGCCTGGCTCTGTCCTGAGCTTCTCCTGCGATGAAGGGTGAGTGGGGGCGGGGTCTAGCCTGAGAGCGGCAGGGAGTGGGCTGAGGGCAGAGACAGCAGGACTCCAGTCTGTGGCCTCTCTGCCCTGCCCCAGGTACAGGCTCCTCGGGAAGTCCACCAGCCACTGTGTCGTCTTTGATCAGCAGGCCAACTGGACCAAGATGCCCCAGTGTGAAGGTAGACTGCGGTGCTTGGGGCTCCGTGCCCCCTGCAGAATCTAGGTCGTGACTCAAATGTGCCTCCCAGAGCCTCAGTAACTAGGGCTCCTCTGAATCCTGGGCTCGAGCTCCCCGTGGGCAGTGCCTGCCCGCCCCCCCTGAGGGCTCCCGAAGACAGTGCCCACGTGGCCCGTCTGAGGACTCTAAAGGTAGTGCCCGCCTGCCCTCGGAGCGCCCTGACCCCTAACACTCAAAACTTGGGTGGAAGTTCCCTGTGGAGACACTGTGGAGGCAGATCTCTGTTTGGTCTTCAGCTTAGTGCCCAGGTTCCAAAGAAATTTTGGGACTTTTCCAGGTGCTGGCAAGAGGCAGGTGTCTTCAGGTACCTGAGGCCAGTGGCTTCTGGGATGTAGGCCTGGGACTTTCCACCTCACCCAGAGCAGGGAGGGGTTGGGCTTGCCCCCTCACGGTGACTTAATCTGTTTCTGCAGGGGTGACCCTGGGGTGTGGAGCCGGGGGACCGGGAGGGGCTGAGCTCTGTGCTTGTCCCCAGCAAGCCCCATGCCCCTGCTCTGGGTTGGTCACACCTTCTTCAGAGTTGGCAGCGTGGAGCCCCATGGGCTGTGGGGGCCCCTTGTTGGGACCCTTGGGGCCCGCGGCTGCAGCCCTTCCATCCTGGACGCTCTAGAGATCCGCTGCTCGCCGCCACCGCCTGTTCTCCACGGGACGCACTCGGGCAGCCCCAACACGGACGCCCCCTTCGGAAGCACCGTCTCCTATACCTGCGACCCAGGCCCAGAGCCAGGGGTGACCTTCGTGCTCGTCGGCGAGGCCACTCTCCGCTGCATCGCTGACCATCAGCACCAGGGTGTCTGGAACGGACCCGCGCCACGCTGTGAGATGTCGGTGCCCACCAAGCCTTGCCCACCGCCCCAGATCTCCCGTGGCCACGTGTCTGCAGGGCTCAAGGAGGGATACGCATACAATGACACAGTGCAGTTCGCCTGCCAGCCTGGCTTCACCCTGAAGGGCAGCCCGAGGGCACACTGCCAGGCCAGTGGGACCTGGCACCCAGCAGTCCCCGTCTGTGAGAAGGGTGGGTGTGCGCCGACCCCCACAGAGGCCCGGGACTGCAGAGGCCGCCCGGGCGGAGGGCTGCGGGAGCTTCTGGGAGGACGGTGGCCTCACCGTGCCTCCCCCTCCAGCGTGCCCAGCGCCCCCCCAGGTCCCCAACGGGCGGCAGGAAGGCAGACGTGCCCTCCGGTACGAGCCGGGGACCTCCGTGAGCTACCGCTGTGACCCTGGCTTTGAGCTGGCAGCAGCAGGAACCGTCCACTGCTCCCCCGACGGGCTCTGGATGCCCGCTGTCCCCCGGTGCCAAGGTGACTCCCCTCGATGCCCACGCAGTGCCCCCAGCTTCCTGGGGCCGCACCTCACCCGTCTTTTTCCCCAGAGGCCAAGTGCACGCCCGATGGCCAGCAGCTGTTCCAAAGACCCCGAGGCCATTTTATTAGGACCCCCGTGAGCAGCTCCTGTGGTGAGGGGTGAGTGGCTCGCTGGGGTCTCGCTCTCACCCCTGGGCCTGTGGGGCACAGATGGCACGACTCGTCCCGGTGCCATGGAGGCAGCAGCCCTGCCAGGCCATCCTCTCCCCCAGCCCCTGGTGCTGCCCACTTCCTGCCCTGGCTCTGGCCTCTCTGAGCTGGCCACCCACAGCCACGTCTGATGCAGGTTCCAGCTGGGTGACAGTGTCTTCCAGCCGTGCCAGGGCACTGAGCTGTGGTTCGTGGAGGAGCGTCTCTGCAAAGGTGAGTGGCCAGGCCTGCTGCCGCGTGCCGGCCCCAGAGCCTGCCCGTGGTTGGCCGCCCTCTGCAGTGCGAGGCCGGCCGTCCCATCCCGTCCTCACTGTGAGTTCCCCGAGAAGACACGGGGCTCAAGGGCCTACAGACCCTCCTCAGCCGGCTCTGGGCGTGTGTCTGCTGGCCTGAGCTGGGCAGGGGGAGCCACGCCCCGGGCAGCGCCCTCCAGAGGGAGATGCTCGGCGCAGAGGCCCAAGACTCTGAGCACCGTTGTTCACTGACCGTTCACGGGACTCTTGCACCCGGCGACACTGGGGCAGCTACTAGGCCCACTCGCAGTCATGCCCGCTGCACGCCCTATGACCTGAGTCATCCGAGTCAGATCTCACACACATGCAGAGCGGGGTGCTGGCTGTGCCAAGCCGAGCCAGCCACCACACCCTTGGCCAGCGGCAGTGGCCAGCAAGCTCCCTCCTGCCGGGAGCCTGCCCTGGGCTTACACCGCTCCCCCTCCTCTTCTTCCCAGACGTCACCTGCCCACCACCCCCTCGCATCCACAATGGGACACACTCGGGGAGCCCCTCGGCAGAGGTGCCCTACGGAACGACGGTCACCTACAGATGCCTGCCTGGGCCGGAGAGGGGCGTAGAGTTTGCCCTGGTCGGAGAGCACACCCTCCGCTGCATTAGTGCCGGCCAGGCCGGGGGCAAGTGGAGTGGGCCGGCGCCCACCTGCAGACTCTCCCTCCCTACCACGCTCTGCCCACCAGTCCACGTGGACAACGGGTACTTGGTGTCCGGCCGGAATGCCACCTACTCCTACAACGCCAGCGTGGTGCTCGTCTGCAAGCCCGGATTCACCCTGAAGGGCAGCGCACGGATACGCTGTGGGCCCAGAGGCTCCTGGGACCCCAAGATACCCGTCTGTGAGCAAGGTACCGGGCCCTGTCCCCCCTCACTGGACTCGCATGGAACCCAGGACACATGGGTAGCATGTGCTGGAGCCGGTGGCATGTGCTGTGTGCTACCTATCCCATGTCCACGTTTGGGTGGCATGTGTCCCCTGTGTGTGGCGTGTGTCCCACGTGTATGGTGTGTCCATGTATGTGGAACTTCATGTGCATGGTGTGTGTTCTCTGTCCTATATGTGTGCTCTGTTCCATGTGTGTGGCTCCTGTCCCATGGGAGTGGCTCATATGACATGTGTGTAGCGTGTTCTCCGAGCATGTTTCCTGGGGAACAGTTATCTGGGGTTTGGGAGAGACTTTGTCAATTGAAAGAGATTTTCCAGGCCCTGTTCTCTGGGCAGCGGCTATAGTTTCGTGGCTGGCAGCTCACAGGGCTTGAACTGCCGTGTCCGTGACTCCGCCCTGCTGCCCTGTGCTGGCATCCTCCTAGGCTGCCACCATCCCCGGGGCTCCTGCCTAGTGAGTGCTCAGTGGAGCCGTACTGGCTGAGCACTGGAGACCAGGCCACATGCGGGCAGGAAGCCAGTCCCTCCAGTGCTTGCCTTCCGAACTGGGAAGTCATTCGAGCCACACTTGCTGCGTCCTTGATGTCCAGCAGGTGTGACACCACTCTCTCCCTCAGAAATACCATGCCAGCCCACGGGGGACACCAGCCAGGAGCCTCCAGCTGGGGCCCGTGTGGTCCCTGCTAACGCATCCTGTCAGGACGGGTGAGTCCCTCCATCCTCGTGAAACTGGAAACATGGGGCCCCCTATCCCCGAGCACTGGGTTTTGCTACCCTTCTGGGGTGAGCACCGTCCTCTTGTAGCTGGGGTCACTGCTGCCCCCGGTGCTCCCTGCAAGGGCCCAGTGCTTTGAGGTTGGGCCACAGGAGAGACAGTGAAGAGTGACTTTTGTCCAGGTTCCGCCAGACTGGGTTTGCTTATCGGAAGTGTGAAGACACCGGGCAAGGGGCCTGGTTCCAGAAGGTCGCGTTGTGTGAAGGTAGGCCCAGGAGGCAGCGGGTGGAATGAATGCAGGTGCTCGAGGGGCTGGGCACGTCCTGGGTCTGCGGACACTTGAGTTGCTGCCTAGAGCAAGGACAGCCTCTGCGGTGGTCCTGCCCTCACTGTGCCGCCCACGCTTTCTCCCTGGGGTCTGAGCGCGCATCAGTCCTGCAGAGGACACCTCCTAAGGCTGCACAGTGAGGGCAGAGTAGTGGCTCGGAGGCCGGGAGCGGCCAGTCGTGCGGGCGCCTGGTTCCCCGTGCTGGCGGGCCGGCCCTGGTGTCCAGCTCGGGACAGCTCCTCCGCCTCTCCGCAGCTCTGCAGTGCCCGCCCCCACCCCCGATAGACAACGGGAAGCACTCCGGGGGAGCTGCGGTCGCCTTTCCCTACGGGAGCCATGTCACCTACGCGTGTGAGCCAGGCTTCCACCTGCGGGGACAGGAGACCCTGCAGTGCGGTGGCCCCGTGGCGGCGGATCCGGAGGCCTGGAGTGGTCCCGCCCCCCAGTGCCTGGAAGCGCCCCAGGCACGGTCCTGCCCTGGACCCGAGGTCCGACACGGGCGCCTGCAGTCCGGGCCACGTGACGCCTACCCTCACCACAGCGAGGTGCACGTCGAGTGTGACCCCGGCTTCATCATGAACGGGAGCCAGGTCATCCGCTGCCAGCCCGACAACACCTGGGCGCCGGCTGTGCCCACCTGTATCAAGAGAGGTGAGAAGGCGCGAGGGCGGGGGGGCCCCCCGGCCTCCGCCCCTCCCCACCTTTCCCACCCTCCAAGGTGCTGTGGGTCAAAGGCGCTTCTGAGTGTGGGAGGTCACGCCCTGCCGCCTCACGGGCAGAGAAGGGGAGAGATGTCCAGGCTCGGGGAGCCGATGTGCAGTCTTGATCGGCCACGATAAGCGGATACCCTAGGCCAGAGGCAGAACTTCGGGGATGCCAGAGAACAAAGTTGACCCTCAAGTTGCTCTGGCTCTGGTTTGTCTTAGTTGCAGCCAACGGCGTCAGTTCAGGGCTGACTCCCGGCTCTGTGCTCAAGGGCCGCTCCTCTTGGGGATCGGGAACCCTGCCTGCCTCTGGGGATGGAAGTGGGGTCTCCGCCGGCAGGCACACACTGACCCTGCACCCTCCCTCCAGCCCTGGGTCGCTCTTGGCCCCCTTTGATGGTCTCTCCTGGTGGTGGCCCAGACAGCAGGGACCAGCCGGCAGCACTAACCCTGACTCCACACCCAGCTCCCGGATCTCCCTCTGGGCCGCGCCACCCCACTTTGTCCGTTCCCACAGCCCCCCTGCCCAGAGCTCAGTCCTGCCCTGAGAGGCACACGGGCGCCTGCAGGGACCAGGCCCTGGGGCAGAACCCTCCCCGACATGCCCCATGAGGCCAGACCCTGTCCAGGACTGTCGAGTCCCCAGTTCTGGTCCCGCCCAACGAACGCTGTCCTGGGTCGGCCTCTCCCCTCCCTGGGGACAGCACCGCAGTCTTCTCTCTGCAGCCACCTCTCCATTGCTCCGCAGCTCTCCAGGATTGCCCTCCCCCCCTCCTCATCCCCAACGGGAACCACACCGGCAGGGACAGAGCCTGGTTTCCTCCCGGGATGTCAGTGCTGTACGGCTGTGATCAAGGCTACCTGCTGGAGGGCGTCGCACTGCTGGTGTGCACAGTGGCCGGAAACTGGAGCCAGCCCACCCCGTTCTGCATAGGTGGGTTCCTGTGGTCCCCAGCACACACTCAGTTGTGTTCCAGGAACCTAGAGCAGCCCGTCGCCTCGCTGGGTCACTAGAGACAGCAGAGCTAGTTGAATTAACTGGGCAGAGCCACTGATTAGTCTGAAAACCAAGAATAGAGATGCCTCAGATGGTCAGTTCCTGGGATCACGTGTGGATTACCAACCACAGAGTGGATCACCCTGTGGTCACAGCTTTGCCTCGTGTGTGTGAGTGTTTATGTGTATGACTACATATGTGTATGTGTTCATGTGTGTGTGGCCATTACAACAAAAAGTGCAGCAGTCGTCCGAGGATTTTCTCTGTGTGGTGTGGGATGATACACATTTGGTAGAAACATTCTAGGTGTCCTCTTCATCAACTAAGAGCTCCATTCTTCCATAGAGAGTGAGCAACACACACCCCCGATGCTACGCATAGTCACTTCCAGAGAGCCACGGGTCACTGTCCTCGCAGTCTGGACAGCAGCAAACCCTGGGAGTCCTGCAGTACCCAGGTGTTACCCGGACCCCACAGTCTATATAGACAGGGCATCAGGACGTGGACCCTGCAGTATGGATGAACACGTAGTCATGTAGTAACATTGCAGAGCAGCCAGCCCTGAGTTTGGATTTGGATCTAGTCTCGCACTCTGTGCGGTGTGAAAGAGCCGGAGTCTTGTGTGTGTGTGTGTGTGTGTGTGTGTGTGTGTGTTCGTGTGACATGCACGTGTGTGAGGCACTAGAGTCTTGTGTGTGTCTGTGTGTGCCTGTGTGGCATTCATGTGTGTGAGGCACTGGAGTCTTGGGTGTCCGTGTGGCATGCAGGTGTGTGAGGCACCGGAGTCTTGTGTGTGTGTGTGTGTGTGTCCGTGTGGCATGCACGTGTGTGAGGCACTGGAGTCTTGTGTGTGTGTGTGTGTCTGTGTGGCATTCATGTGAGGCACTGGAGTCGTGTGTGTGTGTCTGTGTGGCATTCATGTGAGGCACTGGAGTTGTGTGTGTGTGTGTCTGTGTGGCATTCATGTGAGGCACTGGAGTTGTGTGTGTGTGTGTCCGTGTGGCATGCAGGTGTGTGAGGCACTGGAGTCTTGTGTGTGTGTGTGTCTGTGTGGCATTCATGTGAGGCACTGGAGTCGTGTGTGTGTGTCTGTGTGGCATTCATGTGAGGCACTGGAGTTGTGTGTGTGTGTGTCCGTGTGGCATGCACGTGTGTGAGGCACTGGAGTCTTGTGTATGTGTGTGTGTGTGTCCGTGTGGCATGCACGTGTGTGAGGCACTGGAGTCTTGTGTGTGTGTGTCCGTGTGGCATGCACGTGTGTGAGGCACTGGAGTCTTGTGTATGTGTGTGTGTGTCCGTGTGGCATGCACGTGTGTGAGGCACTGGAGTCTTGTGTGTGTATGTGTGTCTGTGTGGCATTCATGTGTGAGGCACTGGAGTCTTGGGTGTGTGTGTCCGTGTGGCATGCACGTGTGTGAGGCACTGGAGTCTTGTGTGTGTGTGTGTGTCCGTGTGGCATTCATGTGTGAGGCACTGGAGTCTTGGGTGTCCGTGTGGCATGCAGGTGTGTAAGGCGCTGGCTCTGTGGGCGGAGGCTGAGGAACCGCAGCCCTGTCTTCCCTGAGACACCCTCACAAAGCCTGTGCTGGCCAGATGGGAGTGTGGGGGGGGTGTCCAGGGTGGGGAGATCTGAGCAAGGGGGGAGGGGGCTGCATGTCCAGGAGGGACCTGCAGTTCCGAGGGGCTGTGGGAGACCGTGGCTGCTGGCTGGTGTGCGGCTGCCGCTCAGGCTCCCGTCTTTGCAGAGGTGAACTGCAGCTCCCCGGCCCAGGTGGAGGGGGTCCAGCGGGGGCTGGAGCCCGGAAGGACCTACCAGTATGGGGCCATCGTGACTGTGGAGTGTGCGGACGGCTACACCCTGGAAGGCAGCTCCCAGAGCCAGTGCGAGGACGGCCGCGCCTGGAACCCCCCGCTGGCAGTGTGCAGGTCCCAGGGTAGGTCTGGGGCCTGCCCCCTGCCGTGGGGGGGGGGGTCCTGCAGGCCTGGGCCTCCGCGTCTGGGCCGCAGAGGGACGAGAGTCTGGGAGCGGAACCTGGTGTGGGTGGGTGCCACAGCAGTCAGACGTCCCGGCTGGGACAGGGACAGGAAGGGGCAGGGCCCGTGGGGCCTGAATGCCAGACCTGCAGCCTTGCTTTGGCGGGGGGGCGGGGGGAACTGCAGAGACAGCCTTATTGCTGCAGCTGGAGTTCGGGGGGGTTGGACCCCGCCAAGGCCCCCTCGACCACCGGTCTTGGTTGTAGAGTTAGTGTATGGGGCTTGTCCCTCATGTGGGACAAGGCTTGGCTCCAGCCTAAGAAGCGGGTGGGGGCAGAGTCCCGCAGTCGCAGGCGCCCTGGGCGCAGTCCAGCCTGCAGCCCTGCTAACACCTTCACAACTTGTCTCCCCAGGGCCACTCGCACCCATTCTTTTCGGTAAGTGCTCGGCAAACTGGAAGAGTGTTTTTGTGACGGTGAACTGGAGGCAGGTCTGCGTTCCTCATGGCACCCGCAGTGTGGAACCCGGGCAGAGGGTTCGCTGGGGGCGTGAGCCGGGAAGCAGATGGACAGCAGCTCTGGGTCAGGGTGTGAGATGTGCTGGGGGGGGGGGGGGGGCTGGCTCCCTGGGCGGATGTCCTGTGACGTGTGACATGGGTGTGGTGCTGACATCAAGTCATGTGTGACGTGAGCCCAGGGCCAACATCCTATGAGGCGTGACATGTGAGGTGGGTGCTGTGCTGAGATCTGATGACTGTGCTGTGGGCCCGGTGCTGATGTCATATCACGCGTGGTGTGGAGTGAAGGTGTGAAGTGGGTGCGGTGCTGACATTCTCTGTGGCCGATGCTGTTGGGGCATGGCCATGCCGAGGGCTGGGGGGTGGTGACTCTGAGGAACAGGAGCTGTCCGGGAACGATGACCCTGTGCTCCGAGGAATTCAGAACCAGATGCAGCCCCCCCCGCCCCCGCACACTGTCCACTTGCCGTCTCCTCCTCCCAGGTCTGTCTGCAGGCCTCGTCCTCCTCTTCTGCTTGGTTGTCGTCGCCTTCTGCATGATCCTAAAGCACAAAGAACGGTGAGTTCGAGGGCACTTCTGGCCCGAAACTACAGAGGAGTCCAGTGTGTAGAGAGCAACACCACCGTGAGATGCGGGGCCACCCCAGCCCGCACCCAGCAGAGCTTCCACACCTGCTCAGGAGCTGCTCCCCCACGCTGGTCCCAGCCCCCACTGACGGCGCCCACCGCGCCTCCGCCTCAGAGGGCCAGTTGGTCCAGGAGGCCTGTTGGAGGCAGGCCCAGGTGGGGTCGTGTGTCCGTATGGCGTCCCCCTGCCACCTCTCACAGCTTGGGGGCATGCTCTGGGGCAGGGGTACTGGGGAGAGCTACAGCAACCTTGGGAGAGTCTCCGCGCCCCCTCGCAGCTCTGCGGCTAGAAGCCAGGTGTGTGTGGCCCGTCTAAGGGGGCAGAACACGCAGGAAGGAGTGTGCAGGACTGCTGCTGTGAGGGGGAGAGGTGTGTGCAGGGGTAGGTCCTGTGTCCTAAAGGAGCTGACATGTGAGTTGAGGATCAGGCTTTGAGTTCATCGACAAGCCCAGGATCGAGGCCCAGGTCCAGGCGGGGTCAGATAATGCCGCTGAGCGGATGCCCAGGGCCCCTCATTGGGGGGTGGATGGAGAACGAGTTTGGAGGGAGGGGACGCTCCAGCAGGGGGTGGGAAGTCGGGGATTGTCTTCCAGAATCCGGGGAGACCAAGGTCTTCAGAAAAAAGGGGGAAGTCACTTATGTTTTCCTCACAGGATGTCGGCAGATAATTTTAGCGCAGAATAATGGGTGATCCAAATAAATAGAACATGTGGTCCCTATCTCCTTCCCTCTCCTTGCCCCAGTTGCTATCGGGGCTGCCCATGTGCCCCCAGTCGCCTCCACGCGGCGCTCAGGGGGCACCAGCCACTTTCAGTGAGACTCAGCCAACAGGGGCACTTACCCAGTCTTAAGACCTGGGGTGTGATGGCGGGGACCGTCCCTGGGCATACGCACGGAAGGCAGGCGGCCTCACCCGCACGATCGCCCAAGCCCAGAAGCTTTGTTTTTTGCTTGGCTTGGGTCGAGAGCCCCTCCTGGGGGCACAGGGGTGGGTGCGAGGCTCCCCCGTGCGAGGCGTGTGCTCCCCACTCCTCTCTGTCCATACTTTTCAAGCTGGGAATCACAGTTATCTGTTTTAGTTCCAAAAAATGTGCCCTAGAGCGATTAGTTCAGGACATGCTCAAGACAAAATAAATCATGCGTGAAAAGCGCGTGCCCTGCGCCGAGTGTCAGGGAACACGGTGAGTACACGCTTGGCAGGAATAATGGTCAGCGAGTTTCTTTCCCTTGTTCTTGTGTCTTCTCTCCCATTAAGCAGCTATTACACGAGTGCCACCCCTAAGGAAGACCTCAAGTTAGAAACACGAGAAGTCTATTCCATGGGCCACTATGATCCAGCAAGTTAATCAGAAGACAGCCCGGTGCGTTCACTTGCAGTTAAGTCTGTTTCACTTACACAGGTGTGCTCTTAGGAAGGGCTGAGGCCCACTGCATGTTCAGTGGCAGAGCAAGTCCAGGGGGCCCAGTTTGTGCGTGTGTGTGTGTGTGTGTGTGTGTGTGTGTGTGTGTGTGTGCTCGTGTGGGCATGGATGTGCAGGGCTGTATATTCGAGTGTTTGCCCTAGATGCAGTGTGAATTGTGTGCGTGCCTGTGTGTACCTTCTTTGTGTTTGCACGAGGTGTGGTGTGCGTATGTGTGCCTATGTGTGTGTTTGCGCTATGTGCAGTGCAGTGCGTGTGCGTGCGTGCGTGCATGTGCTTGTGTGTGTGTGCGTGCTCCAGGGCAGCTCTCCTCAGGCTTTTCTGTGATGAACAGGAGCATGGAGGCCTGAGGCCCTTTCTGGGGACTTGAGCAGCATCACAGGGAGTGCAGGGGCTGCAGCACATTCGAGGGGGCAAGCCCGGTGTCTGGCTGAGGGGCTTGTGTTGGTTTCGTTTGTCCTGAATCTGAGAGTGCCGGGGCCCCTTCTGCACTGGTGAAGGGGCTTTCTCCACCTCCCTGCAGATTCCCTTCCTCTGTTCAACTCTGGCTGGCTGTGGAGGTGGGACCTCCCCGCACGGTGGCTGCCCAGCTCTGCCCTGAGAAGTGCTCGGTGGGCAGCCCCCGATGGGGTCCCAGGCATCTGTTCCGACTCCTGGTTCCTGACCCACGGCGCACCCAGGGAGGATGGAGCGTCCCTGCCACCCGGCACCTGTGGGTCTGCACCTGCCAGGGTGCAAGACCGTGGCCACCCAGATGTACTCTCGCACAGGGGGAGGCATCACACAGGAAGGCAGCTCTGAGGGATGAGGGACCCTCCTGCCTGTCACTCACTGCCACCTGCTCCTGCATCCCTGACACATGACAAGCACTCAAGGAGCTGTGGCCAGTGCTCCCGCAGCCTGCATAGGTGAATCTCGCCTTCATCCCGGCCCCTCCGGGTTCTCCACGCGACATCCTCCACGTCCGTGACCACCGCTGATGGTGGCGAGCTCACCTTCCCCTCCAGGAGCCGCGTCTGATTCCAGCTCTCAAGCCACAGCTCAAGCTTCCGAGTGCCAGGGTGCTCGCAAAGGGCTTGCGTCACTGCCGAAGGGTGCGGGTCTTCGTCGTGCGAATAAACTTGACCTTAAACATGCACTGACCGGACTTGGCTCTTTTCTGAGTCTGGGTCACGGGCCTCTCTCTTCCGCCAGGGCCCCCAAAGCTTGACACTACAAACCCTCACGCTCCTCACCCCAGGTCAGTTCCTGTCCTCCTCTGGCGGGGAGGCTGCGCTGCTCTGCTGTTCGTCAGCGTGTGCCCAAAAGCGCAGCATGTTTCTGTGTCTTGCACATGCAGAAGTCAAGTAACACGAGGGTCTCCCTGTCCCTTTGTGTTTTTTTTTTTGCTTTTTATTGGGGGGTGTCACACCCAGCGATGCTCAGGAATTACTCCTGGCGGTGCTCGGGGGACCATATGGGATGCTGGGAATCGAACCCGGGTCGGCCATGTTGGCTGCACGCAAGGCAAACGCCCTACCCACTGTGCTATCGCGCCAGCCCCCTCCCCCTGTCCCTTTGGAAGGACCCAGGCCACGGTCACCAGCACTCAGAGGTCACCCATACCCGACCCTCCCCTACCCCCAGCCCCCACCTCACCCACCCCACCCTCTCACACCTTGGCCCTCCCCTGCCGCTCCCCACTCCCCACTGCCCCCCACCACAAGTCCCGATTCCACCCTCCCCTCCCCCACCCTGGTTCTCCCCCCTTCCACATTCCCCCACACGCCTCAGTCCCTCCCCCAAGCCCTGCCCTCGGCCTCCTGTTACCATGGCCGTGGCCCCCCACGCCTGGCCCTTCTCCGCCCACGGGCGCACCCAGGCCAGAGATTGGACTGGACCAGGACACCAGCCGCGCAGTGCAGGAAGCAGCGGCACCTGCCCCCAGTCTCTGCCCCCTGCCCCCTCATCTGCCTTCCTGGCTGGCACCTTCCTGGGCAGGTGCTCCCCAAACGGCCTCCTCCGCCTCCCACAGCATGGACGCTGCTCTCGACACCCTGGAAGACCCACAGCCAACTGCCCTGCCGTCCCAGTCCCACGGTGGCCAAGCCCTGGCCAGGCTGCACGGCTCTCCCTGGGCTGCGGAAAAGGCCCCAGGGTCGGGTGCACGCGGAGGAGGGCCGTTAGCGACACCTAGTGGGGGGGACCGGAGGTGCAGACTGGGCCCAAGCCCAGGGCCCCTCACAGCTGCCCACCAACACCAAGGACAAAGCAAGGGCTGGACGCAAGGCAAAGGGCTCGTGAGCGGCCCCAGAAGAGAGCGAGGGGCTTCCCAGAGGGAAGATAGGGAAGATAGGGAGATTCCAGACATCTCCGCTTCCGGGATCTTCCAGGTACTTTCTCCTAGGCCCGAGTGCTCCTGCAACCACGCACAGGCCTCTTTGGAGCTCTGCCCCCTCCTCACCCCGCAGTTCGGAGGCGCTGAGGGCTTGGCGCTGAGCCTGGCTCCAGCTCACCTCCGGGCACAGCCTGGCCGCTCTGGCCCTCCCAGCACTGCCGCCCCCGGGAGCCCTGATCACCACACCGGGCCCCAGGCTTTCCTCCCTCCGGCACACGAGCGGTCAGGTGGAGCACGGGGAGGGAGGGAGGGAGGGAGGGAGGAGCATTACCCGCCCTGTCCACCCCAGCCCCGAGTGCTGGGCGCCAAACTGTCCCTCCCTCCCTCACCCCCTTGTCTCAGTAAAGCTCCCCCATCCCCTGGAGTGCTGGTTCTTCCCTCGAGGGAAGGAGGCAAAGTCCCTGCGGAAAGGCATCCAACCGGCCTCAGTCCCCTCAGGGCCACGATGTGCTCCTGCCCCCGAGGAGGGACTGTGGGGCACCAACCCCCCAGCAGGACCCGTGCTTTGCTCCGGCCTGCATGGAGCAGGGGGTAGCCGTCTCTGAGAGCACACCAGGCTGGCCTGCCCCCACACTCGCAGGGGTCGCACCCAGACTGCAGAGCCTGTGCCCGGACCCACTGGGCACAGGAGCCGGGGGGCAGGCCCGCTGGGCTCCACAGCAAGCCTCAGCACGTGCTCACCACTGGGCATGGGAACCTGGAGAGAGGGCCCGGCCGGACACGGCTGCGGGTCTCAGAGGGCAGTGGGACTCTCCAAAAAGGATGCAAATCGGAGGCGACGATCCCCGCCCAGGAAGGGGAAACTGTGGTCGGTCGGCCAGTCCCCCACAGCTGAGAAGCTGAGAAGCTTTCTGACGGGGCCATAGGTTCCCAGGCTCAGCCGGGGCTCCCTGCAAGGGGTCGAAGCTCCAGACAGACAGACAGACAGACAGACGTGCCTGGCCGCGGGGTCACCTGCAGAACGACGCTTTGCTCCAGCTGGTTGCTGGGATGGGCACCGCCCCGCTCTGCCCTGCAGCCCTCCTGGCTGTCTTACCATTGCTGCTGCCTTCAGTCACCTGGGGTAACACGGGGACCCAGGGGCAGGTCGGGGGGAGGCAGCAGGGAGGACAGCAGAGACGGGGGGGCAGGATACAGAGGGAAGGTGGAGCAGGAGGAACTAGTGGGGGGGGGGGGGGTGGATCGGTGCAGTATCTCCGCAGTCTCTGCCTGGGGCCGACTCCTTGGTCTCCTGGAGCTGAACACAGAGGCCAGAGGGACCAGGAGGTTTCCAGAGGTCTCTGGCAGTTTCTGGAGTCCCCTGGCGCCTCTGGAGGTGCCCTATGGTCTCCTGTGGTCCCCAGTGGTTTCTGGGGTCTTCTGTGGCCTGTGATGCCCTCCGGTGGTCTCTGGGGTTGCACCTGCTCCTCCAGGGCTTCTGGGTGTGGACTGAGACGGTGGTGGGTCAGTGATGGAAGCTGGAGGCAGATGGGCCCAAGGTGGGACAGCCCACACTCTGGACAGGGTGGCCTGCTCCATTCCTGACCATCAAGCAAGTCCAGCAGGCTGGGGGTGGCCTCCTGAAAGTACCCTGTCTCGGCCATCAGGGTGACGAGTGCTGGACCCTTTGGCCAGCTCAGCAGGCTCGGGTCTTGGGTCAGCTCTGCTGGGAAGAAGGGGCACGTCTCTGGGCCAGGACAAGGCCTGGTGAGGATGGCCACTGGGCTGCAGCACCTCACTGCCCTTCAGTCGCCCTTCCCCTGGAACCTTCCCTGCCCAATGCTTCAGAAGCTGATGGCCAGTCGCAGGTGCCACCCAGTGGCCGCCAGAACCTAAAGACCCTCTTCCATCCTAGAACGCACCAGCAGTGATCACTGAAGGAAAATATTGACTGAGGCAACCACAGCAACCTCCAGGCTGGCAACTGGGGGTATCCTGGCAGCCCAGGACCTCTGGTCTAGCCTCTGTGGTTCTGAAGCTGGGACCCCCCGGGACAAGGCTCTGAAGGGAGCATGGGGCTTCAATGGTTGCAAAGAGGTGTGGACACATCAGCGTCAGTAAACGTCTGTGTTTGTGGCCTTAAAATTGCCACTTGGGTGGCTAGGAAGTCATGCAGAAGAGTTTGAAGGTTCCCAGATGACAGAAACAGAACCATAACCCCACCCCAGGATGGGGTGTAGAACACAAGATGGCAGCTGTTCCCTCAGACTTGGAGTGCAGAGTGTTTCACAGATATGTAGACACGGATATCACACATGTGTACACAGGCCACGAACATGCATGCCACATACACCAGGGACACACACCACCTATATAAAATAGATGCACTCAGACAGAGACACCACCGGTGGGCGCAGAGACATACCACACACATCCATAGATCACATTCTTGCACAGCACAGACACACACCCCTCACACACGTGTGAATATTGAGACACTAAAAGCAAGAAACATTGTCAGTTTAGCAACAATTGGCCAAAAACGGGAGAAACAAACCTTTCAGATAGAGTCTAGAAGACAAGCTGAAATGTGCCTCATGTCCCCTCTTGGGAACAGAAGCTCTTTATGTCCCCATTTTCTTCTTTACCTTTGTTTTGTTTGGCTTCGTTTCGGTTTGATTTGTTTTGTGTGGAGGTCACACCTGGCAGTGCTCGGGAGTTACTCCTGATCTGCGCTCAGGAATGACTTCTGGCTGTGCTCAGGGGCCCTCTGGGTTGCCGGGATCAAACCTGAGTTGATCGCCTGCAAAGCAAGCACCCTACCCACTATCTCATCTCTAGGGCCGCATTTCTTTTTATTTGGAGTCACTCCAGGCATGTTCTTGAAGGTCATTCCCTGGAGTGCTCAGGAGACCGTGTGGCGGGGAATAAAACCTGGGCTTCCCACATGCAGAGCAAGTGCATAAGCCCCAGTTTTTCCCTTTGAGAGTTAGTGACTGTTTTAAATCACCACTAGCCCAAAGCATTTAAATGTTTATTTTACCTAAGGTAGCATCGTCCTCCCTCCCGTTGCTCATCGATTTGCTTGAGCGTGCCCAGTAACGTCTCCATCGTGAGACTTGTTGTTATTGTGCTTGGCATATCGAATATGTCATGGGTAGCTTGCCAGGCTTTGCCGTGTGGGCGAGATACTCTCGGTAGCTTGCCAGGCTCTCCGAGAGGGGCGGAGGAATTGAGCCCAGCTCAGCTGGGCCGGCTGCATGCAAGACAAACGCCCTACCACCATATGTCTTTAAATTGTTTATCTGGTTTATACATCTTTCAATTGTGTTTATAGTATACATATATTAATTACAACTATAAAATTATTGAATATTTGACATTAAATAAAATCTGCTATATGCCAATGTTACATGTAAAACATACACTGTACTTCAATGACATATATACAATACTATGCTTATATGCTCTATAATAAGGTAAAGGTAAGGTAAGGTAAAGGCCCTCCCATTGATCGTCGATTTGCTCGAGCGGGCCCAGTAACGTCTCCATTGGAGACTTTGTTGTTACTGTGTCTGGCATATTGAATACTCTCGGTAGCTTGCCGGGCTCTCCGAGAGGGGCGGAGGAATCGAACTCGGGTCGGCCATGTTGGCCGCTTGTAAGCCGAACGCCCTACCCGCTGTGCTATCGCTCTAGCCCATGCTCTATAATATATAATATAAATTACTTTATGAATTATAATTATATAATTGCAGGTTATTGCTTTATTAGGCTAATAAGGCATAAAACTTTTTCTAATATTAATTTGTGAAATTATATAGTTCTACATATAGTATATTAGAAGATAGAACATATCTGTAAACTATTACATGTTATGGCAAATTAAAATAATATGATATATGACACAATAAACCCCAGGTTTGGAGCTGAGAGTCAGTGGGGTAAAGGCGCTTGATTGGGACAATGCTTAGTCAACTTCAGGAACCGACGAGGTCACAGATGTGCCGCCAAGCTGCGTAGCACCTGTTGCCGCTTCTTCTTCACGGAAGTGTGCGCTCTCCTGTCTAACGCTGGGCTGCGTGCGGGGAGCTCCCACTCCACTCTGGAGAAGCACACGTTCTCTTTTAAGCGTGTCGCATGCCTTACCTCTCTCCTTAATCCCCTTTATTTCCTCAATGAACTATTGCACTTCAAAGAAAATTCGACGGGAAACATACACCAGCTAGAAACTCCCTCAAATTATGCAAGAACACTTCTCAGTAAAACACGAGTCCAGAATGGTGCCTGAGTGTTTTGAACCGAAAACGGTGAAAGGTGATGTCTAAAAATATGTGCTTCGGAGCAGAATAACTAACTCAGATTCATTTTACTACTAACAGCTGAGACTTTAAACTTTTAGTCATGGTCACGGTCACGGTCCTCCCATTGTTCATCGATTTGCTCGAGCGGGCCCAGTAACATTGTGAGACTTGTTACTGTGTTTGGCATATCAAATATGTCACGGGGAGCTTGCCAGGCTCTGCCCTGCGGGCGAGATACTCTCGGTAGCTTGCCGGGCTCTCCGAGAGGGGCGGAGGAATTGAACTCGGGTCAGCCATGTTGGCTGAGTGTAAGGCAAACGCCCTACCTGCTGTGCTATTGCTCCAGCCCATCTTAGGAAATTTGTTTTTCTAAAGGGTTAACCGGGTCACAGAGATGGTGCCGGGTTAAGGCTCTTGACTTGCACATAGCTGACCCAGGGTAACTCTGACACCACAGAGGGTTTGTTCCCTGGGCCCCCCCCAGGAGTGATACCTGAGCACAGGGCCAGGAGTAACCCTGACCATTGCTGGGTGGGCCTCCCCACTTCAAAAAAAGGAACCGTAGCAGAGAGGTAGCAAGGCAGGAAAGGCACTTGCCTTGCAAATGGCCAACCTGGACCCAATACCTGGCATCCTATATGGTCCCCAGAGCCCACCAGGAGCGATTCCTGAGCACAGAGCCAGGAGTAAGCCATGGGCACTGACAGGTGGCCCAAACAAAAAGGAACAGCAAGTAAATGAAGAAAATATCAATAAAGATACAACGAAAATAAAATCAAATCAGCAAATTAAAAATTAGTTATCTGAAGAGTGAGAAAATGGACTCACTTTGATTGCTCTCAGTCTGATGTCCATGATTTTAATAAATTAGTAGAGAATTAAGAGGAAACAGGAGTTAAAAAGAAAATATTAGCTGCTTGGCGAACTCAAGGAAAAGGATGTATCTTCTGACGGATATTTCTTGTTGACTATGTTTGAACTTAGATGATATTCTTGTGCTGTAACTGAAGCCTACTACTGAGCTGGGGGGGGGGGGGGGAACATCTAACTCTTTTTTTTAAATTATTTGTAAGCTTTTATTATTTTTTTTTAATTTTATTAGTGAGACACCATGAGATACAGTTGTAGTCTCACAAATTTTGTGCGTGGGGGAAACATCTAACTCTGACTCCCTTCACACAAGCCTGTGGAATCCTGGACCCTGAGAGCACTTGAGCGAGGGCCTTCGGGCTGAGCGTTCAGGAGAGCAGCTCTGCAACCAGTGCAGCCTTGGCGAAACAAGCTGGGAGCCGTCCAGGCTGGGGTGTCTGTGGGCCTGAGGACAGCAGGGTGGACCCTCAGGCCCGTATCTGTGGGCCTCGCAGGTCAGTGCCCGTTCCCGGAGCAACTGTCATTCGCCTTTTTGCTGAACAAGACTGAGCTGCAGGCATTCCCGCCGGGGAGCATCCTGCGGTACCAGTGCCGCCCCGGGTACTTCAAGAGGACCTTCTCGCTCTCCTGCCTTCCCGACTCAGCCTGGACGCAGCCTCCCCTCGGGGTCTGCAGGAGTAAGTCGCTGCCCAGCACTTCTCCCACTTCTAAGGCGCAAAGACCGCCTTGGGAGTGGCCCTCCCAGCTCCCCGGGGACCCCCGCTCCTCTTCCTGCCCTGGCATGTGATCGCACCCCACATCCAGCTCCGTTCCGAGAAAGGGCCTGGTGAGCGCCAGGCAGGGCCGAGGGGTCTGCCCCGAGGGGCTCTCACAGGCCCTGGAGAGACTCAGAGATGGCGCGGGGAGGAGAGCGCGGGCGTGAGGCAAGTGAGGCAGGGAGGAGGCCGGCGCCCGCACTGGCCGGGGGAACAGCAACCAATCCAGAGAACAGTTTTAGGGGCAGGAAAAGGAAGTGTCCAGCGGCCTTGCCAGGGATGCTCACGGGAAGTCTTTCTGGAAGGGGCACTCAGTGTCACCTGTCCAGAGATGGCCTCCACGTTCTCAAGGGGACAAGAGTTCTGGAACCCCAAAGGCTCCTCCCGAGCCCCCCGCTAGGGCCTCACAGCTGCCAGGACAGCCGAGAGCAGCTCCCGGTGCTGCTGCTGTTTCCACAGAGAAGTCCTGCCCGGTGCCTCCAGACGTCCTCAACGGCAGAGTGGAGGTCTCCAGCTTGGAGTTCGGGGCCGTCATCAAATACAAGTGTGAGGAAGGGTGAGTGGGCCATCGCCACGTCGGGACAGCTGCTGCAAAGTGAGCCGCTGACCTCCGAACCATCCTGCCTCCGGGAAGGAGAGTCAGCAACGGGTGTCTAAGCAGAGGCACCACCTGACGGGGCTCTAACAGCCTTTGAATAATGCTGGCAGGGAGGGAACTAAACCCTGCCTGGGAATGGGGAGGGCTCCCCAGCCGGGGGCCACGCTTGAATAGCGCTTCCAGCTGGGGGTTGCTGAGTGTTGCCGAGTGTTGCCTTGCAGAGTGTGGCTGAGGGGAGCTGAGTGTCGCCCAGGGGGGCCGAGTGCTGCCCAGGGGGGCCGAGGGAAGCTCAGCTCGGGATCTAACAGTTGTGGGTTCTGCTCAGATTCCGCCTCATCGGGATGTCCTCAGCCATGTGCTTGATCTCAGAGAACAAACTCATGTGGGACCAGGACCCCCCTATCTGTGACCGTGAGTCAAAACTTTTTCTCGCCTTTTTGGAGGGGCCGCAATCCCCAGAACACGTCTGTCATGCTCCTCCCAGGCAGGAGGGTACCCAGAGGGTCCGCGACAGCTTCCAAGTCCTCGGAGCACTGGGAGGTCTTGCTCGCTGCGTCCTGGAGGCTCCCTGAGCCAGGTGCTTCCCAAGGGCACGTGGAGAGCAGCATCAGGCCTGATTTTCTGGCCCTGTGACTGGAAATGGGTGGGTTCCGCAGCGCCCTCTGGTGGCCTCTGTGGAGAGACGCGTGAGGGGTTGTCCTCCAAGGCTGGGGGTCACGGGCTCGGTGCCTGTGCTCTGCACCCCAGAGCAGGCCAGCGATCGGCCGTGCCCTTGGAGCTTGCTCTCTGGGACTGACCCCCACTCTCTGTGGCAAGTTCTTTGGAAGAGCCAACTGCTCTGCATTCTGGCTCTCTCTGGGGAGGAGAGGGCTCTGCTCAAACGACTCGAGGGTCCCAAGGACACCTACCACGGCCCTCGATGCCGGGGTGCTGTGCAGCCAGGAGGGGAGCAGCACGTGCGGACAGACTGTGCAGGTTGCAGACGAAGACTGATGACAGCACCCGTGGCCCGTGGCGTGCAGTGAGCACACCGCTTCACCTGTTCCGTGCTGACTCTGCCATCTGCACACCTGGCCAGCAGGGTCCTGTAGACCTTGACACCTCCTGGAGGATCTGGCACAATCAGGTTTAATATAATGCCTCACTTAACCATTTCTGATTGTTTTACATGTTTTTATTCCTTTTTCCCTCGTGTTTCACATTTTTTTAAGTTATCAAGTGTTTTTGTTATTTCTGAGTATCTCTACCGCCACCTTTTCACCTTATGATCCCTGGATTTTCTTTTTTTTTTTTGCTTTTTGGGTCACACCCGGCGATGCTCAGGGGTTACTCCTGGCTCTGCACTCAAGAATTACTCCTGGCGGTGCTCACGGGGCCATGTGGGATGCTGGGAATCGAACCCGGATTGGCCGCGTGCAAGGCAAGCACCCTACCTGCTTGCTATCACTCCAGCCCCTTGATTTTCTTCTTATGCTCACCCAGGAGGCCAAAATAATCACCACAGAGTTCACATCTCAAACAAGAGCCCAGCATTATGGAACACTGTGGCCTTTCTTCTGTGGCATCTATCAACTGACATGCCTCTCAGACCATTGTGCTGCATTTTCAGAACAGCCGTGCTTAGCTGGGCTCCCTTTCTGTCTGAGTTTTCCTCCAATCCTCTGGCCTGCAGAGCAAGTCAAAATGGAAACAAAAGCATGTTTGTATTGTCGATTTCCTGACAATGAATTTTGCAAACAATTTTACGACTTGTTTGCACGCCAACACCTTGTTTCCTGGCAGCTTCGAGGATGGCAGCACGGGGCCATTCTCAGATTTGGCTGGGAAGTCTCTAGGTGGCACTGCCTTCATGTCTGTGCCTCTCACTTCCTGTGGCTTCTTGACCCGACAGTCTGCCCAAACATCAGCCCCGGTCACTCTGCTCCTCTCTGGCCGGGCTCCTCCGACTCACGCCGCCGCCCTCGCGGTGCCCAGGGGAGGAGGCTCCTTCCCTGCCTCGGTGCTGCTTCCTGATCTCCTGGCCTGGCTCTCAGCCCCGCTGCTCTTCTCCATCTGTGTCACCATTGGAGACCCCACGCAAATCTTGATTCCCGTGACTGAATTTTACCACGAGAATTTTTATCTGATTTTTCTTCTTAATTGCTCCTAGTTCTTTTTTTTTTAATTTTTATTAGTGAAACACCATGAGGTACAGTTGTAGACTTACAAATTTTTGTGCTTGGGTTTTAGTTATACAATGACCAAGTACCCATTCCTCCGCCAGTGCCCTTTCTCCACCACCAATGATCCTAGTATCCCTTCCACTCCCCCCTCCCCCCCATCCCACCCCACCCCTGTGGCAGGGCCATTCCCTTTTGTTCTCTCTCTCCTTTTGGGTGCTGTGATTTGCAAAAGAGGAATTGAGTGGCAATCGTGTTCGGTCTATAGGGTCTATAGTCTACTTCCAGCATGCATCTCCCATCCTGGGCGGATCCTCCCAACTCCCTATATTTAGTGCTCCCTTCTCTATCTGAGCTGCCTTTTCCCCTAGCATGTGCGGCTGGCCTCCAAGCCATGGAGTAAACCTCCCGGTACTTATCTTGGTTATTCTTGGATGTTAGTCTCCTATTTTGTTACTTTATGTTTCCCAGATGTATGCAATCTCTCTATGTCTGTCCCTTTCTTTCTGACTCATTTCGCTTAACATGATACTCTCCGTGCAGTACCACTTGTATGTAAATTTCATTACTTTATCCTTTCTAACAGCTACATAGTACTCCATTGTGTAGATGTACCAAAATTTCTTTAACCAGCCATCTGTTCTTGGGCACTCAGTTTTTTTTTTCCAGATTATGGCTATTGTAAACAGTGCTGCAATGAACAAACAAGTGCAGGTGTCACTTCAACTATACTTTTTTTGCCTCTCTGGAATATATTCCCAGGAGTGGTATTGCTGAGTCAAATGGGAGCTCAATTTCTAATTTTTGAGAATCGTCCATACTGTTTTCCAAAAGGGCTGAACCAGTCGGCATTCCCACCAGCAGTGAAGGAGAGTCCCTTTCTCACCACATCCGTGCCAACACTGGTTGCTTTTGTTCTTTTGGATGTGGGCCAGTCTCTGTGGTGTGAGGTGATATCTCATTGTGGTTTTGATTTTCATCTCCCTGATGATTAATGATGTAGAACATATTCTCATGTGCCTTTTTGTCATTCGGGTTTCTTTGAGAAATTATCTGTTCATTTCATCGCCCCATTTTTTGATAGGGTTTGGATGTTTTCTTCTTGTGGAGTTCAATCAGTACTTTGTATATCCTTGATATCAACCCCTTGTCGGATGTGTATTCTGTGAATGTCCTTTCCCATTCTGTAGACTGTCTTTGTATTTTGGTGACTGTTTCTTTTGAGGTGCAGAAGCTTCTTAGTTTAAGATAGTCCCATTTGTCTATCTCTGTTTTCACTTGCTTGGCCAGTGGCGTGACATCTTTGAAGATACTGTTAGCTTCAATGTCATGGAAGGTTTTGCCAACTTTGTCTTCAATGTACCTTATGGATTCCGGTCTGATGTTGAGGTCTTTAATCCATTTTGATCTGACTTTTGTACATGGTGTTAGGCAGAGATCTGAGCCCATTTTTTTTGCATGTAGCCATCCAGTTTTGCCAGCACAATTTGTTAAAGAGGCTTTCCTTGCTGCACTTCACATTTCTTGCTCCCTTGTCAAAGATTAGATGATCATATGTTTGTGGGGGGGAGATGTCAGTATATTCCACCCTGTTCCATTGGTCTGTAGCTCTGTCTTTGTTCCAGTACCATGCTGTTTTAATTATTACTGTTTTGTAGTAGAGTTTGAAGTTAGGGAAGTTGATTCTTCCCATTTTCTTTTCCCCAAGAATTGCTTTAGCTATTCATGGGGCTTATTGTTCCATATGAATTTCAGGAGTGTTTGCTCCATTTCTTTGAATAATATCATGGGCATCGTTATAGGGATCACATTGAATTTGTACAATGCTTTGGGAAGTATTTTTTCCCTCATTCCCATTTTGACAATGTTAATTCTCCCAATACATGAGCAGGGGATATCTTTCCATTTCCTCGTGTCCTCTTTTATTTCCTGAAGTAGCATTTTGTAGTTTCCTTTGTACAGATCCTTTGCTTCCTCAGTTAAGCTGATTCCTAGGTACATGACTTTCTGAGGCACAATTGTGAACGGGATTGTTTTTTTCATGTCACTTTTTTCTTTCTCACTATTTGCATATAGGAAAGTCATGGACTTTTGGGTATTGATTTTATAGCCTGCAACTTCACTATACAAGTCTATTGTTTCTAAAAGTTTCTTGCTAGAGGTTTTAGGGTTCTCTAAGTATAGTATCATATCATCTGCAAATAGTAAGAGCTTGATTTCTTCCTTTCCTACCTGAATGCCCTTAATATCTTTTTCTTGCCTAACCACTATTGCAAGTACTTCCAGTACTATATTGAACAGCAGTGGAGAGAGTGGGCATCCTTGTCTTGTCCCTGATCTTAGAGGGAAGGCCCTCAGTTTTTCCCCATTGAGGATAATGTTTGCTGTAGACTTGTAGTAGATGGCTTTAACTCTATTGAGGAAAGTCCCCTCTATACCCATTTTGGCATGGGTTTTCATCATAAACGATGCTGGATCTTGTCAAATGCTTTTTCTGCATCTATTGATATTATAATATGGCTTTTATCTTTTTTATATGATGTATTATGTTGGTTGATTGATTTCTGAATGTTTAACCATCCTTGCATCCCCAGGATGCAACTTGGTCATGGTATATGATCTTTTTGATGAGTTGTTGGATTCTATTTGCTAATAGTTCGTTGAGAATCTTTGCATCTGTGTTCATCAGGGATATCGGCCTGTAATTCTCTTTGTGGCATCTCTGTCTGCTTTTGGTATCAGGGTGATATTTGCTTCACAGAAACTGTTCGGAAGTGTTTTTGATATTTCAATTTCGTGGAAAAGCTTAAAGAGGATTGGCAGTAAGTCCTCTTTAAAGATTTGGAAGAATTCACTAGTGAATTCATCTGGGCCAGGACTTTTGTGCTTGGGGAGACTTTTTATTACCGTTTCAATTTCCTTGATGGTGATAGGTCTGTTCAGGCATTCCAGGTCTTCTTGGTTCAGCCTTGGGAGGCTATAGGAATCTAGGAATTTATCCATTTCCTCGAGGTTTTGTGTTCCATGGCATAAAGCTTCTCAAAGTACTCCCTGAGAATCCTTTGAATTTCTGTAGTTTCTGTTGTAATGACCTCCTTTTCATTTCTGATTAGGTTTATTAAGGTTTTCTTTCTCCCTTTCTTTGTGAGTTTTGCTAGAGGCTTATCGATCTTGTTTATTTTCTCAAGAACCAGTTCTTGGTTTCATTTATCTTTCGGATTGTTTTTTGGGTTTCCATCTCGTTAATCTCTGCTCTGAGTTTTATTATTTCCTTCCTCCTATTTGGATTGGGCTCCTTTTGTTGGTCATTCTCCAAGCTTTTAAGCTGTGAGGTTATGTTCCTTATGTGGGCTCACCCCTCCTTCCTGAACAAGGCTTGTAGAGCTATAAATTTTCCTCTTAACACAGCTTTTGCTGTGTCCCATAAGTTTTGGTAACTGGTGTTCTCATTTTCATTCGTTTCCAGGAATCTTTTAATTTCCTCTTTGATTTCCTTTCTAAGCCACTCGTTCTCCAATAGTGAACTGTTAAATTTCCAGGTGTTTGATTTAGTTTTCTGTTTGTGTGTGATTTACTTACAATTTCAGTGTAGTGTGGTCTGAGAGGATTGTTGATACAATCTCTAGCTTCTTAATTTTATGGAGGTACGTTTTGTGGCTCAGCATGTGGTCTATCTTGGAGAATGTTCCATGCACGCTTGAGAAGAATGTATATTCAGCTTTTTGAGGATGAAGTGTCCTGTATATATTGACTAAGTCCCTTTGTTCCATTTTTTCCCTCATATGAAGTATGTCCTCGCTAAGCTTGAGTCTGGTTGATCTATCAAGAGTTGATAAAGCGGTGTTGAGGTCTCCCACTAGTATTGTGTTGCTATCGATGTCTTTCTCTAAGTCGATTAGCAGTTGTTTTAAGTCCTTTGCTGGCCCCTCATTAGGTGCATATACATTTAGTATTGTAAGTTCTTCCTGTTGTACAGATCCCTTGATCAATAAGAAATGGCCTTCACTGTCTCTTGTGAACTTCTTCAGTCTGAAATCAATGTGGTCAGATACTAGGATGGCTACCCCAGCTTTTTTATGGGAGTTGTTTGCCTGTAGGATTGTTTTCCAGCCTTTGATTCTGAACCTGTGTTTGCTTTGACTATTGAGATGTGTTTCTTGGAGGCAGCAGAATGTTGGGTTCAATTTTCCAATCCATCCTGCCACTCTGTGTCTTTTAATTGGTGTGTTTAGCCTATTGACGTTGAGAAAGATTATTGCTATGGGGTTTTGTCCCATTTTTCTGTTGAAATTTGGTGTATTTGAGGGCCTGTCTTGTCTTAAAGTAATCCATTTAGTTGCTCTTGTAACCATGGATTTGAGTTTATGAAATTCCTGAGCTGTTGTTTGTCTGTGAAACTGTGTGTTGTTCCTTCTGTTATGAATGAGAGTCTCACTGGGTAAAGTATTTCTGGTGAGGCATTTATTTCATTGAGTTTTTCACTATATCCCACCACTGTTTTTGGGCCATGAGGGTTTCATCAGACAAATCAGCTGTGAATCTTAAGGATGCTCCTTTATAGGAAATTTCTTTCTTTGATCTTGCTGCTTTCAGAATTTTGTCTCTAAGGTTTTGGTCATTTTGATCAGGATGTGTCCTGGGGTATTTTTATTCGGATTTCTTCTAGCTGGTACCCTTCGGGCCTCCTGAATGTGTTCGCATGTTTTCTTCAGCTCTGGGAACGTCGTAGCAATGATGTCTTTGATGGCTTCTTCTTCATCAGGGTTTTCTTCGTGTCCCTCTGGAACTCCAATAATTCTTATGTTACTCCTTTTGGCTTCATCACGATCTTCTCTTGCCATCTGTTCCTGAATTGTGAGTCTCTTTTCCATTTTCTGCTCTTTTCTGGAGAGCCTCTGGACTTCATCTTCGAGCTCACTGATTCTGTCTTCAGCAGTTATTACTCTGTTGCTGAGGCCATCTACTGAGTTTTTCAATTCGCCTACCAGGTTTTTCAGGGCTGACATTTCCGTTTGTAATTTCATTTGCATTTTCTTCATTTCTACCTTCAAATCCTCTTGTCTTTTATTGGCATTGCTTTCCATTGTTTCTTTTAGCTCCTTAAGCATCCTCAGTAGCTCCCTTCTAAATTCCTTGTCAGAGAGGTTGTCTAGCACTACATTACTGTTGGTGACTTCTGGGCTAGCCTCTTCCATAAGAAAGCTTGGTGGGCTTCTGCGTTGCTTTACCATTGTGACCTGTGTGGTTTAGATCTTCACACTCACTGTTACTATTCTGCTTAAGATGCAGAATATATTGATATGGGCTTAATGAATTATTGGCTAATGTGTTTCTGGTGGTTAAGCTAACCTAGTGGAAGTTCCATCTAAGAGGGTAACTTATGGTTCCTATGGGATATGCAGGGGGAGAATAACTCATGGCTGTGTTAGTGGCTGCGGCTCTGGGAAGGGGCCCTGCCGCCGGCTGGATACCTGGATAAATGAGCAGAGAGTTTTGGAACGACTCAGCTTTGGGCTCGCGCGGTGTGCCTTAATTCCCATCGCCCGCAGACCAAGGATGAAAACCGGCCATTCTCAGGGGATCGAGTTAGGTACACAGCCCTGGGAAGGGGCCCTGCCACCGGGCAGGTACCTGGATGAATGACTTAATTGCTCCTAGTTCTTACCAAAAGTTTATGCTTTGAGTATTTTTTCCTCAAATAAATGAAATTATTTTAATTCTCTGGATGGCGCTTCCTCTATCTCAAGTCCTCGCTACTAATTTTCATTGTCAGTGATTATTCTGGGACTTCTTTATGTGATTGTTTCTCTGCTGGGAAGGTAGTGTGGGGTGGCCTTGCTTGATCATCATGACCCCCAGCCCCAGGAGCCGACCTGCTAGAAGTTTTGTTTTTGTTCTCATGGGTTGTACCAAGTGCTGCTTCAAATCTCAGGGATTTTTGTGAGCTCCTTCCATAGGGGTGACGTGTTATACCATACAGGCTTGGGAAATGGGTTGGTAAGATTTCCATCCTATATATTACTTAAGGGCTGGAGCGATAGCACAGCAGGTAGGGCATTTGCCTTGCACGAGGCTGACTCGGATTCAATTCCTCCGCCCCTCTCGGAGAGCCCGGAAAGCTACTGAGAATATCTCGCCTGCATGGCAAAAGCCTGGCAAGCTACCCATGATGTATTTGATATGCCAAAAAAAAAAAAAAAAACAGTAACAGCAAGTCTCACAATTTGTTGAGCTCCTTCTATGGGGGTGGAAATTGATGAACAATGGGAGGACAGTGCTTCAGTGCTATATTACTTAGACATTTGGAGGGATTTCCATGTGAAGTTTAAAATTCTCTCTTGATTCATTCTAGCTTTCTGTATGTTCTTGGATGAAGATGCGTAATTTATACTTTAATTTGTACCCCTTTGATTTTTAATCTGCTTAACATGTGGTTATTATCAGCTCAATATTATAATTTGTATGTAAATCTACTCAAACTGTTTCCTGCCACCATATGTTGCTCTCTTCTCTGCTCAGTTTCACTGGGGGTGGGAGGTGGCTCAAAGCAGGGGGTCCTGAGGTCAGTGTTCTGTGCTGCATCACCCCCAAGCATCACTGGGCCCAGCGCCAGGCATCAGATAGTGACAGTCCAACTTAAAGGAAGTGGCACCTGGACCCCCAGAGCAATGCTGGGGGGGAGGGAGCTGGGAACAGTGAAAAACAAATAGATAAACTTTCTATTTTAGCACAAGTTTCTACATTTATTTTTAAATTTGTACTCAATGACAAAAATGGAAATTAGCGAGTCAAATGGAAGAGTTGTTGGGAGTTGTGTCTGCAGCCTTGGCGAGTACTGAGATGGAGAGAGCACAGCTTGCTTGGTGAGCTCAGAGTCCCCAAGGCCATGTAAAGAGGGAGAGTCAGAACACAGCTGTGGCACCCATAGCAGAAAAACTTGCCTAGGAAAAGTGGAAGGTGTCAAGTTTCCACACCCACAGGCTTGTTCTCGCTGGATGTTCTTATTCATCTTTAATGATTTGGCTTTGGGCAACACCTGCTCAGGACTTTCTCCTAGCTCTGTGCTCAGGGATCACTCCTGGCAGGACTTGGACAACCTGATGGGGTGCTGGGAATCAAACCTGGGTTGACCACCTGCGGGACTGGTGCCCTCCCCGTCCTCTCTCTCTGGTCCTAACTCACCTTCTCTGATTCTGCTTCTTTTCCAGCCATTCCCTGCGGGAACCCCCCACCCATCGCCAATGGACGCATCTCTAATCCCTACATGAGCAACTTCCTCTACGGGGTCGTGGTAACTTATGAATGCAACAAGGGCAAGGGCCGCCTGGAGCAGTTCCAGCTGGTAGGGAACAAGTCCATTTACTGCACCAGCGAGGACAATCGTGTGGGGATCTGGAGCGGGCCTGCCCCTCTGTGCATCCAGCCTGGCACATGTACGCCTCCAGATGTCGAGAACGGACTCCGGGACCCTGAGGACAAAAGCCTGTTCCGCTTAGGCGACTCTGTCCAGCTGCGGTGCCAGCCTGGCTTTGAACTGAAGGGCTCCCAAAGCGTGCGGTGCAGACCTGAGAACAAGTGGGAGCCAGCATTGCCCAGCTGTTCCCGCAGTGAGTCCTGGGGCCGCATCTGTCCTAGGCAGCCCACGCGGGAACCAGAAAGCCAAGGAGAGGGGGATGTGAGCATGAAGGCTCCGGCCCTGGGAACCTCCTGCACGCTGGTTCCCGCCCCTCCCCGGCCCCGTGGCAGCCCCTGCCCACCAGGAAGGGTGGGCAACACACACTGTCACACACCTCTTAGAGGTGGACGTCCTTCCATGGGACAGAGACAGGGTCTGCACAGTAGAGCAAGCCCAGGCGGCCTGTGCCTAGGGAAACTGAGGCGAGCCTGGGCCGCCCTTGTGGACACAAGAGTGGGGAGCCCATACAGAGAGTCATGCTTCAGTCACATGCCATTTCTGACTGCGTGGAACCATCCACTTCCCCAGCTGGGACCCCCATCGATCCCCACAGTGCTGGAGCCTCACTTCTCCTCCATGGTCTCTCTGACCCTGCAGCCACTCAGGGCAGACACAGTGACCCAGTTTCCTGCCCCTCACAGGGTGCCAGCCACCCCCAGAGATCCTGCATGGCTGGCACACAGCAGCCCAGCAGAAGGATTTCCCTCCTGGGGCCCAACTGTCCTACACTTGCGAGCCCGGCTACCAGCTGGACGGGGATGCGACTCTGCACTGCACGCCCCAGGGGGCTTGGAGCCCAACGCCTCCCCGATGCACAGGTACCCCAGCTCATGATCAGCCCTGCCTCCCTGCCCGGTGCCCGTCTGCCAGACTTGCTCCTATGGATGCCCTTCCGCAGGGAGACCGTGTGCTGCCTTCCTGGACCGGCCTCGCCACGGCAAGGTGCTCCTTCCGCTCAGCCTCCTGCCCGGAGCCATGGTCTCCTTCGAGTGTGATGAGGGGTGAGTGCACTCTGCGAGAATGACGTAGGGCTGGGGGCGGGGCGGGGGTGGGGTGGGGGTCCATTGTATCCTGAGAATGGGCAGAAGCAGGAAAGAGGCAAATGTGCAAAGGGGACGACCAGCAGACGCTGAGCAGAGATGTGGTGGCTCAGAGGAAGGGACGGACACGCGAAGAAGCTGATGCAGAAGTTAGCAGTGAAGGAAGGTCATGGACGAAGACTTGGAGTGCAAGAGGCCCAGGGGCCGGGCAGGGCTGGCTGTCTTGGGGAGTTCTGGTATGGTGGCTCGGGCCTGGGACTGTGCGGGGAACCACAGCACCTACAGAGGCCCAGGGACATTGCTGCTTTGAGAAGACCCCACCCTTCCCTGGACAGTTGGGTTCTCTCTGCACTGCCCCAGGCCACACATTCCCTTCAGGAACTTCCCACCAGGGTCTGCAGGAACCTCCCTCTGGCTTCCTGGTGCTCCCTGGCATGCAGCCTGCCTAGGGCTGACTCCTCCTGAGAGCAAGACCCAGAGGCCTGTGGGACAGGAGCCTGTGGGACTAGATTCCTTCTTCTCTCCAGATCTAATGGCTGGGGGGAGGGGGACGGGGAACACAGAAGTGTCTCCCGGTTCCTGTCCCATCAAAGTCTTCCCAGGGGCTTGGCACTCAGTGCCTCTCTCAGCGGTCAAAGCGAGTGAGCTGAACACCACCCTTGGGTCGAAAGGCAGAGGGCAGGGTCCAGCAGGTAGGAAGATGGGGTGGGGGGTCCTCACTCGCCGTGCCCTGTTCCCAGATTCCGCCTGAAAGGCAGCTCGGCCCGTCACTGCGTCCTGGTAGGAGGCCAGAGCCTGTGGAACGGAAGAACCCCTGAGTGTGAGCGTGAGTGCTGCCAGGCGTCCCAGAGCAGCTGGACACCTGCTTCTGCTTCTCTTCGGTTCTAATGGCACTGCATTGGGTGGTTTCTTGAGGAAAGTACCCAGAGCAGTCTGGTGGGGTCCCCAGCTATCTCCAGGAGCTCTTTTATGTGCCTGGAACCCAAAACAGCCTCCTGAGAAGGGCAAATTTTTAGCCTGGCCTGGTGTCGACACTCCTGCTCCCTCTCAGAGAGACAGACCCTCTGGCGCCATCCTCTCCCCTGTTCCTGTCCATGCACACGATGTGCCTCTCCTCCCAGCCCCTGTGGCCAGCCCAGTCTTGCAATGATGCTTTCTACCTTGTGTTCCATCAGAAATCTTCTGTAGACCACCCAAGCCGATCCGCAATGGGAGCCACTCCAGGGAGTCTCTGGCAAGCGTTCCCTATGGGGAAGAGGTGACCTATGCCTGCGACCCCCACCCAGACCCACACAAGACCTTCAAACTCATTGGGGAGAGCACCATCCGCTGTGGCAGTGACAGTCAGGGGCAGGGGGTGTGGAGCGGCCCTGAACCCCGCTGTGAGACCGCTGAGACCCAAGGTCAGTGCCCTGAGACTGATGTGACCCCGTGCCAGAGTACCAGACTAGTCAAGGGAGTCTGAGTATACCCAGAATACTGATACTTCCAGGTAGTCTGGAGCCCTGGTACCCCCCAGGGTTCTCTGAAGTACTGATGCCAACTGGGTACTCTGAAGCACCAATGCCACCCAGGGTACTCCAGGGTAACAATACCACCCAGGGTACTCTGGCAGTGAATTTTCTATCACCTTGCTAGGAATACCTGGTCTGCTCTACTGCCCAGAACATCTCTCCCAGTGGTTAATCCACTGGAAATACCATGCCAGAGGGTCCTTGCATCTACCCCCCCGCAAAAAAAAAAAAAACGCCGGTGTCCACAGCGGCTCTGACATCTGACTGCTCACATCTGATGGCGAGTCATCTGCATCATTCCCAAGGGTGTTCAGTGGGTGGAGCTTGTATGAGTCCCTCTACATTCTGATGATCACTGAGCTTTGTGGGTATTGATGTTCCAGTGAGGTTTGCAAGAGAAGGAAGTCTTGCACCCACCAAAGATCACGAGTGGCTGAACAGAGTGCTCTGACCGCCATTGAGTAGGAGGGGGTCTTGGGGAGGTGGCACGGCCCCGGGAGACAGGCAGGGCCACCCTTCCTCTGCACTGCCTCAGAGTTGCTCATCAGTCTCGGGGGCTCCTCCAGTGGTAGCTCCGGGTGACCACAGAAATGACTGCTCAGAAGGCGGCTGCCTGTGTGACCCAATGGCGAGGGCATCTATGCCGCCTCACTCTGCTTCCTTTTCAGGACAGTCTTGCACAGTGCCCCCAGCACCCCTCAACGGCAGGGTGCTGACACAGCCAGACACCCAGGTTGGATCAGCGGTTCACTACTCCTGTGATGAAGGGTGAGTCGTTTCCGGAAGCTGCCTCAGAGCCAGAGGGGACTGCCCAGCACCTGGCAGGCTGCACCTAGGTCCCAGTTGGTCCCACAGTTTCTCCCTGGCATTGCCTGCCTTAGAGGGTCAGCAGGCTGAGCATCAGACAGTGACCAGCTCTGCAAAGACGGATACACAATCCCCACTGCCTTGGCGGGGCTACACAGTGAAGGAATAAACGAGGGAATGTCCCAGGGGTGTGGCCAAGCTGACTCTTTCTGGCCCCGTGTGTGATGCAGGAGGAAGCGCTATTCTGTTGCTCGGCTCCTGGTTAGGCACCATGATCCCCCACAGCTCACCAGGGCAACCCCTGCCTTCCAGGCCCCAGGCTAGAGCCCCACTCCATGCAGCCTCTTCCCAGGGGTCAGCGCCACGCAGCCCTGCCTGGGACCTGCTTGGGGCTCCAATGCCCTGAGTGCATATTGATGTCCCAGTTGGGTTTGCAAGAGAAGGATGTCTTGCACCCACCGGAGATCTCGAGTGCAGTAGGGATTGTTCTGGCTTCTGAGTGTGCCGATCCCATTCTTGGCCTCCAGGTATCGCCTCACTGGTTCCCCATCTGCCACCTGCATCCTGTCGGGTCAGAGTGTCACTTGGGACAAAGAGGCACCGGTTTGTGAGGGTGAGTCTAGCCGGCATCCCCAAGCACCGGTGTCATCCTGACTCGAAGGTCCTCCTCCTCCTCACGTTGCTCTACTGGTTCTTCTGTTTTGGGGGGGTGGGCGTTCATTGGAGCCCGTGGTTGGACCCCAGGTGTACCATCCGACCCACACCTACTCCGGGAAACCCTCCCAGTGTAAATCCAGTGACAGGGAGGAATAAAAGTGCCAGCGTCTCGGGTGCCTCATTAACACCCCAGCACAGACAGGCCGAGTAGGGATCAGGCTTCCTCCTGATGCCGGCTGGCCTGGCACAAGGGGATCGTGATTTCTCACACTCCCTCAAGCTCTGGGATTCTGCAGTCTGATGTGTGGCACTCAGTTAGAACCCCAAGATCTGGGGGTCTGAGTCCTGCCCACATCCCGCACCCCCATTCGCCTGCTCTGCGGCCACGGGCTCCTGATCCTGTCACACAGGTGCGCTCTCAGCTCTGGGTGCTTCTCCTGCTCAGCCCCTCCATATCCTCAGTAGCATATTGCAATGACCCCGAAACTCAGTGAACTATGAGTGTCAGGCAGCACACAGCACCCCACACTCAGACCCCCAAGCTCAGGCCTCCGTGCTACGGCCCCCAGACTCAGACTCCCAGACACAGACCACCCAGACCCAGCGCTCTAGACTCGGACTCCCAGACCCAACTCCCACGACTCAGACCCCTAGGTTCAGACCCCCGAGCTTGATCCCCAGGCCCAGCCCCAGGCTCAGCACTCGGCTGAGACATGCCTATCGTCTCATAGGGTCCTGACCTCTACTGTTGCTTCTGCTGGACTTCCTTACTTGTTCTTAACTTTTCCATGCTCTGACACACACACACACACACACACACATGCACGCACACACGCACACACACACACATGAAAAGTTAGTCTGAATGACAAAACTAAAAGCCTCTCTGTGCAGTCACAAGAGTGTGAGGCCGGGGACTGGAGCAGTAGCACAGCGAGTAGGGTGTTTGCCTTGCATGTGGCCAATCCAGGTTCAATTCCCAGCATCCCATATGGTCCCCCAAGCACCACCAGGAGTAATTCCTGAGTGCATGAGCTAGGAGTAACCCTGTGCGTCGCCGGGTGTGACCCAAAATGCAAAAAAGCAAAACAGTGTGGGGTCAGAATTAGGGGTCAAATGGCAACTCCCAGAACCCCAGAATATCGTGGTCCCTTGAGATAGAAGCAAAAAGTGCTCATTTTCTCCCCAGAAATTTTCTGTACACCACCCAAGCCGATCCGCAACGGGAGCCACTCCAGGGAGTCTCTGGGAAGCGTTCCCTACGGGGAAGAAGTGACCTATGCCTGCGACCCCCACCCAGACCCACACAAGACCTTCAAACTCATTGGGGAGAGCACCATCCGCTGTGGCAGTGACAGTCAGGGGCAGGGGGTGTGGAGCGGCCCTGAACCCCGCTGTGAGACCGCTGAGACCCAAGGTCAGTGCCCTGAGACTGATGTGACCCCGTGCCAGAGTACCAGACTAGTCAAGGGAGTCTGAGTATACCCAGAATACTGATACTTCCAGGTAGTCTGGAGCCCTGGTACCCCCCAGGGTTCTCTGAAGTACTGATGCCAACTGGGTACTCTGAAGCACCAATGCCACCCAGGGTACTCCAGGGTAACAATACCACCCAGGGTACTCTGGCAGTGAATTTTCTATCACCTTGCTAGGAATACCTGGTCTGCTCTACTGCCCAGAACATCTCTCCCAGTGGTTAATCCACTGGAAATACCATGCCAGAGGGTCCTTGCATCTACCCCCCCGCAAAAAAAAAAAAAAACGCCGGTGTCCACAGCGGCTCTGACATCTGACTGTTCACATCTGATGGCGAGTCATCTGCATCATTCCCAAGGGTGTTCAGTGGGTGGAGCTTGTATGAGTCCCTCTACATTCTGATGATCACTGAGCTTTGTGGGTATTGATGTCCCAGTGAGGTTTGCAAGAGAAGGAGGTCTTGCACCCACCAAAGATCACGAGTGGCTGAACAGAGTGCTCTGACCGCCATTGAGTAGGAGGGGGTCTTGGGGAGGTGGCACGGCCCCGGGAGACAGGCAGGGCCACCCTTCCTCTGCACTGCCTCAGAGTTGCTCATCAGTCTCGGGGGCTCCTCCAGTGGTAGCTCCGGGTGACCACAGAAATGACTGCTCAGAAGGCGGCTGCCTGTGTGACCCAATGGCGAGGGCATCTATGCCGCCTCACTCTGCTTCCTTTTCAGGACAGTCTTGCACAGTGCCCCCAGCACCCCTCAACGGCAGGGTGCTGACACAGCCAGACACCCAGGTTGGATCAGCGGTTCACTACTCCTGTGATGAAGGGTGAGTCGTTTCCGGAAGCTGCCTCAGAGCCAGAGGGGACTGCCCAGCACCTGGCAGGCTGCACCTAGGTCCCAGTTGGTCCCACAGTTTCTCCCTGGCATTGCCTGCCTTAGAGGGTCGGCAGGCTGAGCATCAGACAGTGACCAGCTCTGCAAAGACGGATACACAATCCCCACTGCCTTGGCGGGGCTACACAGTGAAGGAATAAACGAGGGAATGTCCCAGGGGTGTGGCCAAGCTGACTCTTTCTGGCCCCGTGTGTGATGCAGGAGGAAGCGCTATTCTGTTGCTCGGCTCCTGGTTAGGCACCATGATCCCCCACAGCTCACCAGGGCAACCCCTGCCTTCCAGGCCCCAGGCTAGAGCCCCACTCCATGCAGCCTCTTCCCAGGGGTCAGCGCCATGCAGCCCTGCCTGGGACCTGCTTGGGGCTCCAATGCCCTGAGTGCATATTGATGTCCCAGTTGGGTTTGCAAGAGAAGGATGTCTTGCACCCACCGGAGATCTCGAGTGCAGTAGGGATTGTTCTGGCTTCTGAGTGTGCCGATCCCATTCTTGGCCTCCAGGTATCGCCTCACTGGTTCCCCATCTGCCACCTGCATCCTGTCGGGTCAGAGTGTCACTTGGGACAAAGAGGCACCGGTTTGTGAGGGTGAGTCTAGCCGGCATCCCCAAGCACCGGTGTCATCCTGACTCGAAGGTCCTCCTCCTCCTCACGTTGCTCTACTGGTTCTTCTGTTTTGGGGGGGTGGGCGTTCATTGGAGCCCGTGGTTGGACCCCAGGTGTACCATCCGACCCACACCTACTCCGGGAAACCCTCCCAGTGTAAATCCAGTGACAGGGAGGAATAAAAGTGCCAGCGTCTCGGGTGCCTCATTAACACCCCAGCACAGACAGGCCGAGTAGGGATCAGGCTTCCTCCTGATGCCGGCTGGCCTGGCACAAGGGGATCGTGATTTCTCACACTCCCTCAAGCTCTGGGATTCTGCAGTCTGATGTGTGGCACTCAGTTAGAACCCCAAGATCTGGGGGTCTGAGTCCTGCCCACATCCCGCACCCCCATTCGCCTGCTCTGCGGCCACGGGCTCCTGATCCTGTCACACAGGTGCGCTCTCAGCTCTGGGTGCTTCTCCTGCTCAGCCCCTCCATATCCTCAGTAGCATATTGCAATGACCCCGAAACTCAGTGAACTATGAGTGTCAGGCAGCACACAGCACCCCACACTCAGACCCCCAAGCTCAGGCCTCCGTGCTACGGCCCCCAGACTCAGACTCCCAGACGCAGACCACCCAGACCCAGCGCTCTAGACTCGGACTCCCAGACCCAACTCCCACGACTCAGACCCCTAGGTTCAGACCCCCGGGCTTGATCCCCAGGCCCAGCCCCAGGCTCAGCACTCGGCTGAGACATGCCTATCGGCTCAGAGCATCCTGACCTCTACTTCTTGTTGCTTCTTCTGGACTTCCTTACTTGTTCTTACCTTTTCCATGCTCTGACACACACACACACACACACACACACACACACACACACACACATGAAAAGTTAGTCTGAATGACAAAACTAAGCCTCTCTGTGCAGTCACAAGAGTGTGAGGCCGGGGACTGGAGCGGTAGCACAGTGAGCAGGGTGTTTGCCTTGCACGTTGCCAAACCGGGTTCGATTCTCAGCCTCCCATATGGTCCCCCGAGCACTGCCAGGAGTAATTCATGAGTGCATGAGCCAGGAGTAACCCCTGTGCATTGCCGGGTGTGACCCAAAATGAAAAAAAAAACAGTGTGGGGTCAGGATTGGGGGTCAAATGGCAATTTCCAGAACCCCAGAATATCGTGGTCCCTTGAGATAGAAGCATAAAGTGCTCATTTTCTTCCCAGAAATTTTCTGTACACCACCCAAGCCGATCCGCAATGGGAGTCATTCCAGGGAGTCTCTGGCAAGCATTCCCTACGGGGAAGAAGTGACCTATGCCTGCGACCCCCACCCAGACCCACACATGACCTTCAACCTCATTGGGGAGAGCACCATCCGCTGTGGCAGTGACAGCCAGGGGCAAGGAGTGTGGAGCGGCCCTGAACCCCGCTGTGAGACTGTTGGGACCCCAGGTGAGTGCCCCTGGGACTGATGTGACTCCAGACCAGTTCCCCCCAGAATTGATGTGACCCCAGGTCAGTGCCCCTGAGACTGATATGACCTTAGGTCAGTGTCTCCAGAACTATGACCCCAGATCAGTGCCCCCACCCAGATTGATGACCCCAGATTGGTGACCCCAGGGACTGGTATCCCTGGGAATGATGTGACCTGAGGTCAGTGGCCACCGGGACTGATATGATCCCAGGTCAGCGACCTCAGGGACTCATGTGATCCCAGTTTGATGTCCTTCCTGGCTGCCCTCCTTTGAATATCCTCTCTGGGTTTGGGGAACTTGTTCTTAGCATGCCCACACCCGCCCAAGATCCTCCACGGACAGCTCATAGGAGGACATACGTCTCCATACCATCCCGGGATGTCCATCAACTATTCCTGTGACCCTGGCTATGTTCCTGTTGGCATGACCTTCGTGTATTGCACCCACCTGGGCACCTGGAGTACCACCAACCATGCCTGCAGAGGTACTGGGATGAGGATAAGATGCTGAGAGGGTAGAATAGAGAGTCAGGGCACCCAGCATCCAAAACTGAGGGGAGGCAGCTGCCAGGAACCCCCATCCAGTTGTCTGGGAGCTCCAGTGGGCAGCAAGAGCTTCAGGAACACAACCCCTAGTTCTGAAGGAGCTCAGGGTGGCACTCCTAGAATGTGGACCAGGAGGCACCCTGTGGGGGTCCCAGGTAGTTGCATCCCCACTGTGGAACAAGGTCTCCCTGGGGGAGATGGAGGGGTCCAGGGCTAGAGGCCATAAGGCAGGTCCTCTCCTTCCAGAACAAGCCCTAAGTCACTCCTCACTTCTGTCCTCAAAGTCCTCATGGACTCTGTGAGCTGCACCACACGGCTGGCTCAGCACGCCTTTCTGGAAGTGCACCAGGCCCTCAGCTCATATAAACTCATCTCTGGAAGGGGCTGGGCAGTGACTCTGCTGCCCATCTGCTAACCCAGGGTGCAAAGGACCCTGCCATGAACACAGGGCTATGAACTGCCACACCCACCCCAACCCTTCACCACCTGTTTTGGGGGTTTGGCCCAAGCAGGCGCTTGTTTTCTCTTCGTCCTTTCTGGCCGAGGCAAAGAAGGAGGTGTCAGGTGTGAAGACCAGTATGTCCCCTGGACTGTGTTTCCAAGACCCTCACCCCACTCCTCAAGTATGCCTTTCAACCCTGGGACCGACTTGAGGCTAAGAGATGTCCCACTGGCCCCAGAGTCAGCTCTCCTGCCATGCATTTTGGGAATATGCCTCCATCCTCAGAGGCCCCAGCCCCAGATGCCTGAGCTGGCCCTCCTGGATGGTTCCAGAGAAAAGCTAGTGGTGCAAGACATGTTCCACCACATCCTGCTCCCTTGAAGTCTCCTCTTAATGAACCATCAGAACAGACTGTCAGGAGAACACAGGTCATAAACTTTAATACCATTTATCATATCGGTTCTTAAAAAGTGACACACACCCATGTGGGGCCTATTATCGCAGAAAAGCAGTAGGAAAAGCACTCAGAATTAAGGGTTCAGCAGAGGAGGAAGGCAAAACAAAGGGTGAGCGAGGTGAAAAGATCATCTTCATACTCAGAATTGTGATTCACAGACATCTTGGCTCTGTGTTGAAATTAACCAAAAATGTGCCTTTATTCTCAGGACAAGACACGCTCCTATGTGGAGCACCCAAAGAGTCACCTGAGGTGCCTATCACTTACAAGAGTTTATGCCTGAACTTCCAACCTGTCCCCAACATTCCATGCAGAATTAGAAGTCCACCACTTAGGACGCCTGGAATGGATGGTTGTTGCGTTTCTCTCCTGAGAGGGAGGCAGGGGTGGTGAAGCCTCTGATGCTGATACTGAGGGGTATTTGCAGCTCTCCTTGAAACAGGCCCACGAGTGCTCTGTGCAAGGCAGCTCTCTCCAGACCAGTGTTTCACTCCTAGGGAACAGTCATGTCCACTTCCTGTTTGTTTCATTTCAGAGGTATTTTGTCACCGCCCACACTTGGTGAATGGAATCTGGAAGGAGTCCACAGCACAGACAGTCTACCGCTATGGGGACAATGTGACCATGCAGTGTGATTTTGGGCACACTCTGGAAGGTAGTCCTTGGAGCCAGTGCCAGGCGAATGGCACCTGGGCCCCCTCTCTGGCCGTGTGCATGACTGGTAAGCACAGGTGCAAGGAAGAGTTCTGCCCCTTCACTGCGCCACTTCACCCACTGCATGCTGGGACCATGGTGGGAGGTGCGTGGCATACAGAGAGTAGGATGCCCACTCCCAGCCCTCTCCCAGAACCTTCGGCAGGGAGAGCCAGACACCTCTGTCCCTAATTCCCAATCCACACGCTCCTGGGAGGACTGTGGTTGGTGGCGTGAGAGCGAGCGCACATCCAGCCCTGTTCCAGACTCCCTGCAGCTCTGACACAGAGATGACAAACTGGGTGGGGAGCGACCCTAACATCCCAGGTTAGACGAGTGGGGCAATAATTTCCCACCATATTGCAGCACCAGAGTTATTACAAGCTGGTAAGTTAAAAGACAAGTGTAGGCTCAGAGGATCCACAGGTCTAATGAGAGTGTGAGAGTAAAGCCAAGGTCTTCTGTCAGGAACTTGAAACCAGGGTTGCAAGTAGATGGTGGTGTGTGAGGGACCCAGCTTCAACATGGAGGCACGTGCCTAACCCAGATCCTCTCTCGCCTTCAGGTGTCTGGCCCGCTGCCCTGGCAGGTAAGTGAGGAACTTTCCAGCTTCCTCCAGGGTGAGGACCAGGCAGGCTGACCGGTAAGGGACTGAACTCCGACCTTGCTGATGCCCTAGGGAGAAAGAGGATGTCAGGCCAAATGGGGCGGGGGACAGGCCAAGGGGTACTCAGAGCTGCCCCCACACAGCCCTGGGTCCCTGGCTTTCCACATACAAGCACTCAGCTGAGGTTCAGAAGTCTCAGTCTCACCGACTCTCTATAACATAGTCACATATATTGCCCTGCAGAATGTTGTGATTTTCTTGTCACTGCTACAGATTGAAATGGATAAGCCAGCACTAAGGGGTGGTCGTTCACTTCTGTCTGATCTAAATGATTAGATCCTCACAGCAGGGGACAACCTGCTCTGGATCTTTGTGGTGCTTTTGCTAAGACCAGCTCGTGTTAAGACCATGCTTGTGTTAGGCTTGTTAAGACCACGCTGTGTGAAGACCAGCATGTTGACCACCGCAAGATTTGTTACGCTTTCACTCTGTAGCTCACGTAGGCGTCTATGGGTGACAGTAGTGGCAGAAACAGTGACCTCTTTATCCGAGATAACCACTCAACTGCTACAGGGCTTTATTTCTCCTCCTCCCCCTTCAGCCACTCTGTTCTCCATTTGCCACTTGCTGCTCTCCACTTCTTTTCTCTGCCCCAGGGACAGTATCAACAGCAACGGCAGCATGGGTGGGCAAGGGACAGAAAATGCCCCCTCTACGGAGCTGCTGTTTTTGTTTTTTTTTGGGGGGGGTTGCTTTTTTTTTTAAAGTATACAGTGCATATCCCCACCGCTTAGTTTTTCTGGTGATGGGAGCTCTTTCTATAAGGTCCTCTGATTGGGAAGGCAAATCAGCTCATGTCTACAAATTACAGTAAGGAGTGATTGTGGGAGCACCAATCAAATCATGCATGCCCTTGTAAGGGCAGCCTTCTCTTCAGTTTGAAAACTGGGAATATCCATTGGGGCGGTGTCAGGACCTTTACACAAAGGCCAGCTCTGCTCAGCCCTTCTGGCATACAAGCAACACTCCTGGGACAGTTGGCTTCAGGGACAGGAGTAGTGTTTTAGCAGGGAGTAGGAGGGTTAGTAGCTGGTGCTTACACAAGACTCGTGAGCAGACAAGGGGAGCCATAAGCTGTTGCAATAGCAGTTGGCCCAGAGCTTAAATATGCCATTTGCCTCACCTGGACCCCTTGTGGGGTGAAAAACAATGTGATAGGCTAACCAACAGCAGAGGGAGTCCTTCCAGCTAAGCGCATCCAGGGTAGCGAGTTTGTAAAAAATTTTCAAAGATCACTGGCATCGCTTGTGGAATGAGCCACCAAGACAGATTTCCACCTGCAGGACACTTTCTAACCTTGTTTTCTTGCTCAGGCTCACTCTCGGCTGTGATTCTCTTCATTTTACTCCTCGTTGCTTCCTGTTGGATAAGTCTAAGGTGTAGAAAGGGGTAAGTACAGCCACATTCTTCCAGAAAATGTTGTCACTGAATTTGTCTCCTCTTGGAAATCAAGGGAAGTCAAAGAAACAGTGGAACAATCATGGGGAGGGAGATGCTCCAGTGCCTCAGTGTGCTGGTGGCAAATGTTGCTATGATACAAATGTGCAGAGAGCGTAAAGTGGGGATTAAGCAGGACACCTCCCATCTTCCCACCCCAGTTCTGACTGTTGGACTGGATGGTCCTAGAGTTGTGTCCTCACCCAAGGTGCTACTTGCCCACAAGGTGGGACTTTGGGAGGCTTTCCCAGGAGAGCTTTTACAACAGCTTTCAGGTCTTCAAGTATAGGTACATTAAGCCCTAATATTAAAATGAAGTTGCTTTCAAAAATAAAGTTGAACTGATTTTTTTCTTGCTGTCCGTTAGCAACAGTCCAGGCAAAAAATGTGAGGAAGTAAGTGTCCACCTACATCTTCAAGAAGACAAGATCTCTGTTTGTGCTCTGTCTCTGCAACCAACTCAGGAAAATACCAGGTACCTACCCAATAGACACGGATCTAAGTATTGGCAACAACTCAAATATCACAATAGAAGCAGTGTGCAAAGAACCATATTAGGTAGAAACCCAAAGCAGTCAGAAAGTAAGTACTTGAGATGGCAATGTTTGGGGGGTTATTTTTTCCCTCATGGTTTCTTCTCTTCCAAGTTATCTCAGTTTTAATGTCACTTTCTGTCCAAATCCTGGGCCCCACACAAAACCAAAGATTAGGAAACATTTCCTCTGCCTTGAAGCTGATGTGTAGTGTTGCATTGTGAACTCTGGAGCTGGCCAAGCATCCCTGAGTAAAAAACTCCCTATCGTTTCAGATGTCCTTCTGGACCCAGTCCAAATATGAACAGTGCCAGTCAGAAGTTGATCGGAAAAGAACAGATGAGTTCTACATCTTACAATGGCTGACAGAAAAGCAGACTTGCATTGCAAGGAAATGGCCAGGAGGACCCTCTCTAGTGTTGTGTGCAGAAAGTACCTTCTTCTAGGAGATCATGGGTGCATCCCAGTGCTCAGAAAAAAGAGTTCCAGCAAATTTCCTATTCCTTTTCACTTACCAAGTTTATAGTCTGGGACTCATGAAGGGGAATTTGAAAATACAGGAGGAAGTCATGAAAGACGAATAGGACACATATGTTTGTACATCTCAGGACTCCCATTTTGCTTCCTTCTCTGCTCATCTTTAATGTATCTTTTTTTAAAAATTTTATTGAATCACTGTGAGATAGTTACAAGCTCTCATGTTTGGGTTACAATCACATGATGATCACCCATCCCTCCACCAGTGCACATTCCCCACCACCAGTATCTCCGGTATATCCCCCTTTTCCCACCCTCCCCCTGCCTCCATGGCAGACACTATTCCCCATAATCTCTCTACTGTATCTTTTTAAAGACATATTCTTTCTTAAGTAACTGTACATGTTTAATATAGAAAAGAAACTGCACAGAGTAAAGGAAGGCACATGATTATAATTTTCAATTTCACAGAATAAAGTAATTTGGCTTATGAAAGCCATTGAACGATTGTGAAAGTCACTGAATAACGTCGTTACAAATTCAACTGACTGGCAGAATACTTCCACCTCCGATGATTAAGGTCACTGGATTGTTAAGGATGTGACCATCCCAGGGTAATAGGCAAAGAACTGGAGCAACATCAGGAACCAGTTTCACCAACAACACACCTCTCCCCTGATTGCTCCCAAGCACACACCCAACAACTGCTTTCCCAGAGGGGCCCAGCTCCTGGACGGCTGCTCATTCCCCACCGTCCTCCATGGACTCGTCCCCCAAGCTCTGTCCTGCACAAGCCACCTGTCATGCTCTGTAGGCCCCAGGCCTACAGTCTCTGGAGCACACAAGCCACCCACTATGTTCGGTGGGTTCAAGGCCTACAGTCTCTGGCAGCAAAGGCTTCCCACTGTGCTCCATGGGTTGTGGACCTAAGGTCTCTTGCATGCACAGGCCGTACACCATGCTCCACAGGGCCCAGGTCTAAAGTCTCTGGACAAACGGGCTGCCCGCCGAGCTCTGTGGGTTCTGGGCCTAAGTCCCTGATCATGCGGCCGCCCGCAGCGGAGCCTGGGCCTACAGTCCTTGGGCACACGGGCCACCTACCACACTCTGTGAGGGCCCAAGCCTACAATCCCTGGTCACGAATGCCGCCTGTGGTGCTCCGTGGGGTCCGGACCTAAAGTCCCTGGTTACATGGGTCGCCTGCTGCACTCTGTGGGTTCCAGGCCTACAATCCCTGGGCACACAGGCCACCTGCCATGCTCCGTGAAGGCCCAAGCCCTCCATGCTCCATGGGTTCTGGGCCTACAGTCCCTGGGCACACAGGCAGCCCATTGTTGTCTGTAGGTTCCAGGCCTACAGTCCCTGGTCACACTGGCTGCCCGCCATGCTCCGTGGATTCCGGACCTACAGTCTCTGGTCACACAGGCTGCCCGTCATCCTCCGTGGGTTCCAGGCCTACAGTCCCTGGTCACGAGGGCCACCCTCCATGCTCCATGGGGCCCTGGCCTACAGTCCCAGGGCACAAGGGCCACCTGCCGCACTCCGTGAGGGCCCGAACCTACATTTCCTGGTCACGCAGGCCGCCTGACGTCCTCTGTGGGTTCCGGGCCTACAGTCCCTAGTAAGTGGTCCACCCAGCATCTTCCATGGGTTCTGGGCCTACAGTCCCTGGGCACACAGACTGCCTGCCATCTTCCGTAGGTTCTGGCCTACAGTCCCTGGTCATGTAGGCCGCCCGTCATCCTCCGTGGGTTCCAGGACTATAGTCCCTGGGCACATGGCCACCCACTGCACTTTGTGGTTTCCAAGCCTACAATCTCTGGTCACTTGGGCCTCCCGGTGTGCTATGTGCATTCTGGGGCTACAGTCCCTGGTCACACGGGAAGCCTGCCACACTCTGCAGGTTCCGGGCCTATAGTCCCTGAGCACACAGGATGCCTGCTGCACTCTGTGGGTTCCAGGCACATAGTCCTTGGTCACACAGGATGCCCGTCGTCCTCTGTAAGTTGTGGGCCTACAGTCCCTGATCATGCGGGCCACCTGACGCACTCCGTGGGTTCTGGCCCTGAAGTCCATGTCACGTGGATCACCCGCCACGCTCCATGGGTTCCGGGCCTATAGTCCCTGGTCATACAAGCCACCCATCGCACTCTGTAGGTTCTGGGCCTACAGTCCCTGGTCACACAGGCCGCCCACCGCGCTCTGTGGGTTTCAGTCCCTGGTCACGTGGACCGCCGTCATCCTCCGTGGGTTCTGGGCGTACAGTTCCTGGTGACACGGGCCACCTGTTGTCCTCCATGGGTTCCGGATCAGTTCCTGTTCACACCAGCTGCCTGTCCTTTGTGGGTTCGTGTTCTACAGTTCCACGTCATGCAGGCTGCCCACCATCTTCTGTAGGTTCCCGTCCTATAGTCCCTGGGCACACGGGCTGCCTGCCATCTTGCTTGGGTTCCGGGCCTACTGTCCCTGGTCACACAGGACGCCCTTTGTCCTCCGTAAATTCCGGGCCTACAAACCTGGTCACACGGGCCGCCTGCCAAACTCTGTGGGTTCTGGGCCTACAGTCCCTGATCACGCAGGCCACCTGCTGTCCCCCGTGGGTTCTGGGCCTACAGTCCCTGGTCACACGGGCCGCCGGCCATCTTCTGTGGGATCTGGGCCTACAGTCCCTGGTCACGCAGGCCGCCCACCTCAGTCTGTGAGTTCCGGGCCTACAGTCCACGGTCACGTGGGCCGCCGCTGTCCTCCGTGGGTTCCGGGCCTATGGTCCCTGGTCACGCGGGCCACCCGCCGCCCCGCGGAGCCCGGGCCTAGGACGCACCAACCACGCGGCCTCCTCGGGACTTCGCGCGGGCTCGGCTCCAGGCCCCGACCTGTGTCCCGAGGTCACAGGCAGTGGCCGCGGGCAGGGTCCCCACGGAGACTGGAGCCGCGCACACTCCTGTGCCCACCGAGCGGAGCCACTTCCGTGTGGAGCTTGTCTCTCTTCAGCCCAGAGAACGGACAACCCCTGTCAGGCCGCAGCTGCCGCCCCGCGCGACTCTGCTCTCAGTCTGGACTTCCGGTCCCGACAGCCGACTTCCGGGGCGGGGCCAGCCTGGCGGCAGGAAGTGCCCCCGCGTGTGGGCGGGGCCCAGAGAGCCCATTGGCGGAGGGAAGCCGGCCCCGCCCCTCCGTCACAGAGGCCCCGCCCCGCCGCCCCAGCCGCGCAGCCCTCGGGCCCTCAGGGTCGGCCGCAGGCTCCGAGGCGCTTCTCCTCAGGCCCCACGTCTGGTCCCGAGGGCCCGGTGGGCCGGACCGCCCAGGTCCCCGAAATGCCGGCGCTCGCCCACCGCCCCGGGAGCCGCGCTGCCCTCCGAGGCTGGCCCGGGACCCTCGCTGCGGCGCTGCTGCTCACGCTGCCCAGGCCCCACGGTAGAGCGGGCGCGGCCGAGGGCGGTCCCGGACCCGAGTGGCTGCGGGTCCGGCGACGCCACCGGGCGGGCTGGGCGGGGCCGGGGGAAGCGCCGGCCGCTCTCGGGCCTCTCGCGCTGGTCCCGGGCACAGGGGAGGCGCGGGACACGGAGGGATGCGGGGGCCACGGCCCCTTGCCCTGTGGGCGTGCCCGGGCCGCCCCCCGACCCCAGCACCGCCGCGCACCCCGGGGTCCAGCCAGCCCGCGGCCCAAGGAACCCTGCGGAGGGACAGGCCTGGCGGTGCCCGAAGCCCGCGGAGACGGTCATCGGCCCTGAGCGCCACACACACTGTGGGTCCCAGGCTGGGCGCCTGATGCCAGAGGGCAGTGTCCAGGGACAGCGGAAGTGGGACTAGAATCGCCCTTGCCAGGTGGTAGATTTGACGGCACCCAGGTGGTTTGTCTACTCCTGGGGGGGAAGGGCGGTGTGGGCGGGAGCGCTCAGCGGGCAGGGGGCAGTGGTGTGAGCAGGGCGTGTGCAGGGTAGAGTGTGGGGTGAGCGGTCAGCGGGTAGGGGGCAGTGGTGTGAGCAGAGCGTGTGCAGGGTAGTGTGGGGTGAGGGTCAGCGGGTAGGGGGCAGTGGTGTGAGCAGGGCGTGTGCAGGGCAGAGTGTGGGGTGAGCAGTCAGCGCATAGGGGACAGTGGTGTGAGCAGTGCGTGTGCAGGGGAGAGTGTGGGGTGAGCGCTCAGCGGGTAGGGGGCAGTGGTGTGAGCAGGGCAGAGTGTGGAGTGAGCGGTCAGCGGGTAGGGGGCAGTGGTGTGAGCAGTGCGTGTGCAGGGCAGAGTGTGGGGTGAGCGGTCAGCGGGTAGGGGGCAGTGGTGTGAGCAGTGCGTGTGCAGGGTAGAGTGTGGGGTGAGCGGTCAGCGGGTAGGGGGCAGTGGTGTGAGCAGTGCGTGTGCAGGGGACAGTGTGGAATGAGCAGTCAGCACTTAGGGGACAGTGGTGTGAGCAGTGCGTGTGCAGGGGAGAGTGTGGGGTGAGCGCTCAGCGGGTAGGGGGCAGTGGTGTGAGCAGGGCAGAGTGTGGAGTGAGCGGTCAGCGGGTAGGGGGCAGTGGTGTGAGCAGTGCGTGTGCAGGGCAGAGTGTGGGGTGAGCGGTCAGCGGATAGGGGGCAGTGGTGTGAGCAGTGCGTGTGCAGGGCAGAGTGTGGAGTGAGCAGTCAGCGGGTAGGGGGCAGTGGTGTGAGCAGTGTGTGTGCAGGGTAGAGTGTGGAGTGAGCGGTCAGCGGGTAGGGCACAGTGGTGTGAGCAGTGCGTGTGCAGGGCAGAGTGTGGAGTGAGCGCTCAGCGGGTAGGGGGCAGTGGTGTGAGCAGTGCGTGTGCAGGGCAGAGTGGAGTGAGCAGTCAGCGCATAGGGGGCAGTGGTGTGAGCAGTGCGTGTGCAGGGTAGAGTGTGGGGTGAGCGGTCAGCGGGTAGAGGGCAGTGGTGTGAGCAGTGTGTGTGCAGGGCAGAGTGTGGAGTGAGCGGTCAGCGGATAGGGGGCAGTGGTGTGAGCAGTGCGTGTGCAGGGCAGAGTGTGGAGTGAGCGGTCAGCGGGTAGGGGGCAGTGGTGTGAGCAGTGTGTGTGC